GTATAGACTATAGAACTCAATAAAGTTCTATAGAAGTTTGGCCCTTTTCTATAAGCTTCGCTTAATAGAATTCTTTAGAAATATGATACATGTAGGTTTTTCTATAGAACATTTAATTCAACTCTTGCAGACATTTTTACACATTTTCATTGAGAAAAATTTGGTTGAAAATTAATATAGATTTCTGTTAACTTCAAAATGTGACATAACCATGGCGTTACTCTTTATACTAAATAAAATCTGGAAAACAACCATGACACAATTACAGTTGGACAGACATATTCTGTTCTTTTAAAAAAAAAATTCTTCTGAATTTACAAATTTGTGCATGTAGGGGATGAGCAGATATCTTTCCAGTGCAGTGTATTAAAATCAAAGGCACCAATAATGAACACAGTCTGTACAGTGTACACGGTTAATGTGGTGAAAAAAATAGCAGAAGTTGGGCTAAAAAAAATAAAATAAACACATTTATATATGAATTGTTTTCCTGAGAGGGATACTATAAATTTGGCATGAAAGACACATGCATGAAAGACTTGTGATGGTTGCAACAATCCATGCCTATATTCAGTTTGTAAAACCATGCATAGACCTTTGTTGAAAGGCAATGGTATTCAGACACGTTTGACAACTAGAATTGGAAGTTTGAAGGAAAGTACTGATCGTAATTTCCAAGAGTCATTCTATCAAGCTGTGACATACCTGTATATCATTTGCATGTTCATTGGTGTATGTATGGAACAAACTTTATGATAATCTTTTTAAAAGTAATGTCCATTGTAGTTTCCGGAACTGACATCTTGTAGATTAGGATGATGATTCCAACTGATTGTTAAGGATGCATGGCGCTGCCTCCAATTTGCAGAGCCGGGGCAGAAGCAGTCAGACAGTCTTTGTCTTGTACATGCACATACTGCAGCTCATCTCGGTAGTTTTTGGTAGATCATATCCATGCATAGCGCAAAGGATCATGGAAACAGGTAGATGTAGAATTCTAGATGTATCATTTGAGGAAGTCTGCAGTGGGGAAAATGAATTGTTCATTTTGTAAATGATAATTTTTACAAAAAAAGTGTGATGTTAATGAAATTAATGTCCACTAACAAACATGGCTATGATTACCTAAGAATCTTATTCCTCAATGCTGTTCTTATTCAGAATCTTATTCCTCAAACATGTCAAGTCAGCTGATTCTTATTTGTTGATTCGACCCTATTTATATCTATTGATGCACCCCTTAGTTAAGTCATGGAGGAATAATTTCTCCATGGTTTAGGGAGGGAGTTTGGGCAGAAGTAGTCCCACTAACTGGGTCGCTAGAACTCCTTTTTGACATTTGGGATGTTGGTCTGTCGTAGCCAAGTACGACAGACCAACATCCCAAATGTCAAAAAGGAGTTATAGCGACCCAGAACATGGGACGGGCAGAATTGACCCATATTAAACAAGCATGACAAGTTACATGTACTTTTGTAGTTCTTACAAATTGATGTTCTCTTGCAATTTTGCTGAGGAAGGAATCTGGTAATCACGAACTGTATACCGTCATGACTGAGACAACAACATTGACAGTTTGTTATAAAATATTGATATAATGTCACTATTCTATTCTGCAACAATTTAAGGTGGTTTTAAATCAAATCTTCTAACTCACCAGTCACCATCGTTTTCACCCAGAACCTTCACGTCTTCCGTAATTCTAGCAGAGTAGTACAGCACCGTGCAAATCATGATCATCCGGAGATGTAGGCAACATTACACCATGGAGGCACACAGTTAAATATCCATCAAATGTGTTTGCAAGAACAGCAATTAATTCTTGAAAGTTTCCATAGGCATGCACTTTACTGCCAACATTCATGGTTTGAGCAATTTCATCTCAAACTTCTTGTACAAACAAGTACAATCATGACAATACATCATGTATTTTTTGTTTCCAGCAAACCCATTCCTCGATCCTTCCCACCATAGCTCCATGGTCCACTTTGGTCCAACTGACTGAATTCAAATCTGCTACACAGGCAGTTTCTGTTCTGGTACTGACTGGTATGCAAGGTCGTGTGTACATGTACATGCCGTGCATGGAACTATAAAACATGTTGGGTGAGACTGGTTACCAGCGGAAGGCAATACAAGTGGTTGTAACCTGACCTTGCTTTTAGCAGGTGGTCACTTCTGGGTGTGGGGCTGGCCAGAGGGGGGGGGGGGGGGGGGGGGGGGGGGGGGGGGTAATTGGATAAGTATGTAGCCTTCTGTTTATTCTAACTCCTAGTTTATCCAGTGCGTCTGGGGCGGGCTGCATAAGGAGGGGTATCCTGACTTGATGATTTTATTGCTACATGAAGTATGATATGTAATGTGATGTATGCTCTTTTTGAAGGATTAATTACAATAAAAATGCAGATGGAATTACTAAGTTTCTTCTTTCACATTTTAAAACTAAATAATTATTTCTGTATGTGCTTGAATAGTTCCTTCCTCCATGAATAGTCGTAGTTGTAAAAAGAAAACTTTCCTGCATAAAAAAGTACGCTATGTTATATAGCATGGTTCAAGCTATGCAAATCATGAGTAGTAACTCAAGATCGTGAATACATTACATGTAGCATGAATGGTTAACAGACAACCTCATTTCCTCGCTGGAAATGTATTGATGTATAGCTTCTATTTTTTTTTAATATTAAATGATAATCTTGTACTTTTCCATAGAAATATACTTCTCTATAGAATGTATGCTTCTCTATAGAAATTATACTTCTCTATAGAAATTATCTTTGTATAGAAGTACTTCTCTATAGAAATTATAGCTTTCTATAGAAATTTGGGGTCTATAGAAAAAAAATTGTTTTAGAAATCTATAGAATTCTATAGAGTAAACAATTTCTATAGACTCCCTCTATAGAAATTCTATAGAGAATTGGCGAGCCTGTAGAGTTCTATAGAACTGTATAAAACGTTCTAAAGAATTCTATAGAACATTTTTGTAAGGGCTAACGTGGCGCACTTTTATTTTTCGCCTGTAGCGCCTAGCTAGAGCAAAAGTTTTAACTGAAATTTCACAGAAAGCGAAATTTCATCAAGTTCTAAACACCCCCGTTCATAAATCGCGAGTTTATTTACCCGTTACAAAGTTAAAAGAAAAAATTATTTTGGCGTGACTTTCCGATTTTATTTTCAAGTGCAAAGTGAACCCTCTGAAAATGCCCCGAAAAATAAGAAAATAATTTTCTGACAAACATCTGGCTGGGTTTGTAAGTAAAGATAGTAATGATTTATCAGAATTTATCAAGTTTACAGAAATTCTTAAATGTTAATTTGGAATTTTCTGAGATTTATTCAAGTGCGCCACGTTAGGGAACACTCCGCTAATTTGTGCCCAATTTCCGGACGCGACCGTTTTTGCATTTCGGATTAAATTTTATGAAACCGAAAGTGTTCACAGAGGTTAAATAGCAAGCATTAAAAAGGTAAAAGTACCAGCATTTCACTGCATGAATTTGAGGTTTATCAACAAAGAGGTTTGGCAATGTTGTGCCCATTCTTGAAAATCACGCATTCTCGAGAATGGGTATGCATATTCTTGAGAATGTGCAACTGGATCCTTGCTCAATCTTGGCAAAAAATTACTCTTCCAGATTGAGCGCACATTCTTGAGAATGCGCGACAAGATAACGGTCTTGTCGATGCCGAGCACCGGCTGCGCTTGGCAAGTCTAGCTGAATCCTCGTTCACTGATTCTCAATAATTATACTGTTGCAACGCAAGGCGCTGAAAAGTAGAGTGGATATGAAAAGTGGGGATCCTGAAAAGTATACGCGTATTGGGGGAGGGGACCTGGGGAAAAAATAAGAATAAATAAGAAAGAATTCAGATTTTTGGGATAATAAAAGAGGGGGGGGGGGACGTAAGAATGAAGAATGTAAAGAATGAGAATGAATACTGCGACATCCCATAGTGCTAATGCTATTTCCCATTTAAATTGCCACCAATTTATTGTTCACACCCCACCATAACGTCGCAGAGCTGGATTCTATCTAGTCAAAAGAGCAATTTTGGCAGCTTCTGGACATCGTTTTTTTTTCGTGGCACGCATATGATACATACCGGGACTTGTACTTGTCTAGCCTAAACAAAGCACTTCCCAGACTAGTTCCCAGTCCTCCGTTATTACAAAACTTCCCATAAGTAGGCAGGAAAAAGCAATAATAACAGGTTTAATATGATTCAAATTATCGTAGTTATACGAGTACAGAAGCATAGAACATTTTCTTTCCTCTTTATATGAATTGTTTCCCTTTTAACCGCTATACAATTCATTTAACATAATTATGTCGTGCAATGTTTGTTAAGATTGGGCAAAATTCATAAATTGTGCACGTGATATTCCCACCCAATCTTAAGAATGAGCGCTCATTCTTAAGAACGCGTGCTCGTTCTTAAGAATGGGCGCTCATTCTTAAGAATGCGCGCCCATTCTCGAGAATGCGTAATTTTCAAGAATGGGCACAACAGCTACACTACACGAGGAAAGTTGGGTAAGCTTCGAAGTGCGCCACGTTAGGGAACACGACTATAATAATAATCCGTGGTTATGGTATTATAAACTACTAACAAAGTGACAAATACTCATGACATAGGAATTTAGCCCCATCATATTCCGAGTAACTGTACTTTGGTTGACTTACGAACAAGGAGTAGGCGAACGAAAGTGGGAATTTCCGAAAAGTCCAAGGTCTTCCAAGTTTCATGTCTTGTCGTGCACCGTGTGGGCAGCATGGCCTACTGCGCCTACGTTACAACCGCAAAGTTGTTTAATTATGATAATTTTATGCCAACGTCACAACGTCGCTTGTTTTTCGCGCGGCGCGCGGCGAACTAGACGTGGGTCACGTGGCATAAATTATCATAAGTAGGTCTACCCCTGGTTGTGATGCTGCCGCGCTACCTCAGCTGATCAGCTGTCGATCACATGTTCACAAAAACAATACTGAGTGAGAGAGAGAAGTTTTTGAAGTTACTGACGAAGTAGGCTAACTACGCACGTTCGTGTATACATGTAATATCATGAGCAATCTTAACATTTATTTCTATGTTCCAAACATTATTGGTAAGTATACTGTCCTGTGCTTTTTAGGAAATTATTGTGGTAGGCCTACGTTGTTGAAATTTAAACAGAAGTTTTCAGGCCATCATAATGCATGCCAAGCAGGCATCACGCTCTACTGAGTCTGCTGAAGGCGATTGTTAACTTTAGGACACCACATTTTTATATTTTTCAAAAGATTTTATCAGCTACCGCGGCCACACTGGGGTTAAATTAGCTAGGCTATGGAAGATCGAGGATACCCCATTCTGATCCCTCAAAATAAAATGCAAACCCTGCTCTCTGTCCACAAATTATTACTGAAGGAGTGAAAGTACATGTATGTTCCTTGTACTCCTAGAACTATGAGGCTCCTACGTGGAGCCTCATAGTTCTAGGCATGGGCGTCGCGAGGGGGGGGGGGGCAAGGGGGGGCACTTGCCCCCCCCGGAAAAGCAAAAAAAAAAAAAAAAAAAAAAGGACGAAAAAAAAAAAAGAAAAGAAAAGAAAAGAAAAAGAGGCGCGAAGACAAAGTGGTGTAAATTTAATGAGTTGGGGGGGGGGGGGCAAAATGTCCCTGCCCCCCTCTAAAACTGATAAATCGAAAATGTGTTGAGAAATACAAGCATTTTTGGTCAAAATTTTTTTTGCCCCCCTCTAGAAAAAATCCTGGCGACGCCCATGGTTCTAGGAGTATGTTCCTTGGTCTATGGTTCAACATGGTGCCACATTGTGATCTGCTTATCGTTCTAGTATAGGAACAGGGCCCTAAACTTCACAATCGCCCATTGCCTGTGATGTGATGAACGTTATTAATAGTTATTATTATTGTCTTACATTTTGTCACGCCCCTAATAAATATCATTGGCATTTGCTAACTGGGATGATGCCAGTGAAAGCACCCTATCTAGCATGTCTAGCTGGAGCGTAGTTGTCAAAATTAAAGACATGTTCCTGTGGAAAGTGTATGGAGACTAGCCATGCCCGTAGATATGTTGCAACTCCATGTTCCTGGATTATGCACCTATCAAATGTCCCCCCCCCCCACCCCAGGTCCGATGTCGGGATTTGGTCACGTTTTTCATGCCCCAGGCTGGGGATTTTGGTCACTCAAATTACATTGTTAATATTGGTGTACTACATGGAAAGGCAATCACTGGTGCGCCCCACGTATGTATGTCAGGGCATGGTCGGGGAAAGTCATTTAAATTTTGCCCGAGGGGTGGGGATTTTGTCACTTCAAAAGTGACAATCCCCATGTCTCGGGTGGGGCAGCCCGGGGGAGGGGGGGGGGGGGACAATTGATAGGCGCATTAGTATTAAATCAATTATGTATGCTAGTTTCAGTTTGATACAGTGTCCTTCTAAGTCATGGCATCGTTGATCATTTGTCTTGTCATTGAATTAAGCATCCCAACCCATAGCCCGGCCCGGCTGTACTGCATTAAAAAAAAGTTATATTCCACGGTGAAAGGTCCTTAGAAGGCACCCTTCTGTGCGAACTAGAGTTTGGGCAGTTCTTACCGAATGACGAACCCAACTCTTTGAATTGTTCATAGGATACGTGAGGCTGCTGCTTCTGCTGTTGGCGTGGTTTTGCCTGAGGTATCCACCATGGTTCATCACCTTCTACCTGTCGTCCTTCTTCCTGGATTGTACGTATTTCAAGATACATCTTTTGGCACAAGTGAAGTGAAGTCACAGCCTATGTATAGAGCATGCAGTGACAACGACTTTCATTTCTTTGGCATTGTTCGCCCCCTGGTACCTATAGTACCTGTAACCAAACTATTGTTTTGACTTTGGACTTAACTTACAACCTTGATGGTAACCAATGAAAATATACCTTTGAAGGATTAAATATTTTTCATTTGCGCATATAAAATAATCCAAGGCCATTTTGATTCCTTTAACCTAACTCCCTAGCTAGAGTGATTTACTAGGAACCTTCCTCATCCTTGCAAATCCCAACACATATGGTAAACTGTGCATATAAACAGTTGGACTCTGTTTATTTGTAGTATGCCTAATCCCACGTTAATCACAGTCAGTTTACTAGTGCAGTACTCATCCTTTCAGATTCCAACAACCATATGAAGAATTCTAAGTTTCTTTGAAATCTTCCTTGGATTTGTAGTTGTTGACGGAGCTGTTGCTAGGCGACTGCATCAGACGTCAGCTTTTGGAGCCTGGGTGAGTTAGGGTTGTGGCAAATATGATACCCAATATTCGACCATTAACCGATTATCAGAAAAGCATCGTTTCAAGGCATATTTTTCAAAAAGTGTGGGGACAGACATTCCTATGGTTAGTGCATCAGTCAAAAAAAACACATGTGTTCATACTGTGACGAGGGACAACAGGCTCTTCAAGTTTAGATGGAAAAATACTGTTTTTATTTCTCATCAGCGGCCGCATGGCAGCAAAGCGCAGCCAGCGCTGTAAAACTCTCTTTTAAATCACAAGACTTTTACAACATGTGTATTCTTGTCGGTGGCTAACACAAAACTGAACCAAGCTTATCTGAACCACAGGATGTTGGCCAGTGCCTCACATTCCTGGGCAAACCACATAGGGATTATGAATAAACAGAGCTAATAATTAGGGGCTGATAAAACAAAGTAAACTAGTGTAGAAAAGCTAGAGTCTATCTAATGAATAATAATGAGGTACATGTAGTCAGGCCTCCTGCCTGGAGGTAATTACTTTTCCAGAAACTTGGAATGTGTGGTTGACCCACCCAGGGCCAAAGAACAGATTTTCTCATGGTGTTCGTAATAAATGAACAAAAATAAAACTGCAAATCATGTACATAAAACAATGAAGATAATAATAATTTCAATACTTGGAAACATGAAAACAATCCCAAACTTGTGAAAAAAGCAATTCCACGTACCGACGAATGGGATACAAAACATTAATAAAACTTTCAAAAGAGATAGGAAAAGTAAAGGTGCCAAAAAATATATGGTTGAAATATGCTTGAAATATTTCACCAGTTACAATACTATCTCTTTTTGTTTGCTGAAACTTAGCTTGATGTAGCCATTGATAATCTTGGACGTGGAATGCTTTGGTGCTGGCTTTTCAGGGTAAGTTATTTGGTTGCAATCAAACTTTCAAGAAAGATTTAAGTTTGTCACCCATAGACCATTGCACAGATCAGTGTTGAAGTCAAGTACTTTTTGCAGAGTACCGAGTACGGCCTAGTACTTAGGTTACCGAGTACAAGTACTTCTGCTTCTGAGTAGAAGGACAGGTTTCCGAGTACGAGTATGAGTACTTGTACTTCCGAGTACGAGTATTTGTACTTTAGAGTACGAGTACGAGTACATGTACTTGTATTCTGAGTACGAGTAAGAGTACTTGTACTTTTATTTCCAAATATGGCCAAAGGGCAAATGGTTGATTGTGCGTAATTGGCCCAGGCCCAGTCAGACCGATATCCAGACCCACTCATGGCTAGCTGTTAAATATGTCTGTGCAGACGTGCACAGAGGACAATCAGGAAACTTCCATTTCTCCGGAAGCCAATCAACCATTTCAAACTGAAAGTATCGATAAAATATTAAAGGCTGTGGTAAGTCAAGCTATACCATTTTTTTTTTTCGAGTACTGTTATTCAAGTACAAGTACTTCGATGATCGAGTGCAATTTCGACATGTCAAGTGCGATTACTTTGCTGCGAGTACGAGTACGAGTACCGTCATTTCGAGTACGAGTACTTTGACGTACGAGTACGAGTACTCTGAAAAAGGTACTCGAGTAGCTATACCATTGGTGATCAAGTGGTACTCGAGTACGAGTATAACAACACTGACACAGATACCACAATCTTTGTGATCAAGTGGTAAACCTTTGTGGCATTTCATTGAAAATACATCCCATCATGATTGGGATACATTAGCCCTCCTATATGCAAACATACATTCAGTGCCAAGTTGTCCTTTCAGTCAACATCAATCAAGTGACTGTTTTCAACATAACTCGTGAGGTTTTTTTTCAGCCTGATCATGACTCGCGCTGAGACTCGGGAGAGCTGACTTGGACTCAGACTAGATGTGTTGTGACTCGAAAACAAGTCTGTGTATTTAGCTTTTATATGCTTGGTTTCTATGATTTCTTTTTTGTTTCCAGTGGGGATATTTTGTATCTGCGTTGGAGTGGTGCACATTTGTGTGCACGCACACTGCTGGCTGGCAATGGAAGTCAAACTATGGTCAGGCACCGTGGCTCATCAAAAATGTCATGGCTGACAGTAAGTAGCAACTCTTTACACGTGATGAGCTTATCCATCCATATTGGCTTAAAATTGTGCCTGATAGAGACATCAAGTGAATGTCCTATAGTAAAAGACCCTATGCTGTATGTCTGTCTGTCTGATGTCTTTCTAATGTCTGTGTGTCAAGTTTTTTGTAAAAGGCCTAAAGAGTGTGCACAAGCACAAAATGCAATTGTTAATGGAGAGGCTTGGTTATTGTATGCAGGTCCATATGTTCCGATTTCACTGTCCTCTGAAGTCACGTTTTGCACGTGAAAAAATGATTTGTTTGTTTTTGGTTTTTTTGGGCAAATTTGTTTCTTTGAGACGTTGATTAGTTAAATATTACATTATCTCCATGAGAATACTCCAAAACCGCCATTACGCAAACAAAAACACCCAAGAACTTGATGGTTTTATCAACATATCTTTAAATGCACACACTGTGATGCAATGACTCAGACTTGCACTTGACATTCATGACTTGCGACATGGACTCAGACTTGACACAACTGAGCCAGGATTTGGACTTGACTCTGCACATTTGAACTCTAAAACAACTCCAACTCCAACACTTGCTAACCAGTATGCCATTATTGCCTGGACAGATTTCAGATCCCCAATTGGTATGTATGCCATACTGAGTCTGAATCTGCTGCCGTTGTGGTTCTACTTTTGCCATTATGGCTTCTACGGCTCAAGCATCTTCTTGCCCATGACTGTGCAGTACATCGGCGTTGCCATATTCAGCGCGGGGCGGGCTGTGTGCTCAGTTGTAGAGGTAATAGGCTCCGTGCACAAGTACCCCCTCAAGGGTTTACAAAAGGAGAGTTAGGGGGACCACTAGGAGGGTAATTTGAATGCACTGCAAAGGACACTGGCACTTATGCAAAGACACTCAAAATTCAGAAGAAAGTTAGTCAGGTATACTTTGCTTAATATGCACACAAACCAGTGGGCCTTGGGGCCTACGCAGGTTGTCAAAAGTGGTCAGGAGGCCCCATCTGCTGTTTATGCACCGAGTCTGATCAGAAGACTGATCAATTAACCCTCCTAAACATACATGTTGTGCCAAGTAATCCTTTCAGTCAAAATCAAACAACCTGGTTTGTATTTTTGTTAAAGTGGGACCTGATACCCTATGGTATAATTCTTTGCCACTGGTTTCCTGCTCAATGCCAAGGAAGGATGACTCGGGAAGGTTGCTCGCAAACAAATACTGAAAGACATTTTTGGTCTCTCCAGGGGTACTGTATCTGGGCCCACATCCAGCAGATGGTTAGCAGCGAAGTCAGCCAGAAGAGCACCGGTTTGGGGGAGGTCCAAACGACGGAAAGCTGACAGTGATAAACTCTAAGAATGGGTCACACTAATTACCGCACACTGTCATCAGCTGCCTTTAGCTGACATCCACTGACCATACCTGAATGCCGACAACAGCAGATGGCATATCTGCTGTTGTCAGCTGCCTTCACCTTTGCTGTCAGCAGCTGATGGCCATTGATGTCAACTGCCATCAGCTGCCATCAGCTGCCATCCATTGACTTCAGCTACTGGCAGCTAATTTTAGCTCACAATAGCAGATAGCAGCTGATGGCAGCCGACAACAGCTTCCGTACGCTGACAGCAGCTGACGGCAACTGATGTCTGCTGCCATCTACTGAGGTCAGCTGCCGTCAGCTGCTGCTCTCAGTAACTGTCAGCTGCTGTCAGTTAGCAGCATCTGACAGCAGCTGAGGGCAACAGCAGCTGCCGTCAGCTGACGGCTGCTGATTTCAGCTGCTGTAAGCAGCCATCAGTCTGTCAGCTGACAGCTGCGGTCAACTTGCCATCAACTCCTTCAAACAGCACCGTTTTATACAAGCTAAAAAGAGAATTTTGATTGGTTTGACATCGATGTTTATTAAAAGGAATTTTATTCATGGGAGAATCAATTTCTTAGTATTTATGGCATACCATTTTGAAGCAAGGGTGTGAAGGGTAGGAAATGATTATGACACAGTGTGTATGCCCTCAGCTTGTTTGCTATCTCCTCAAGTAAAGTCGGCACTGACTATTAAAGAGGCAAGATGGCTTTCATCATTAGGCATGGACATAATAGAGAGGCCCATTCGTTACATAAAACGTTAACAGTTTTGAGACTTATAACCTTACACTTTCAAGCCGGAATCTCATTCTAGCTCATGTTACTATGGTGCACCTCTTTTTCTTGTGATGTTTAGTGCTTTTTGAAGGAGTAGAGGGCAGTTGACGGTAATTAGTGTGACGATGAGGGTTGTATGAGGATAATAATGCTTTTCAAATGGAACAATATTTTCACAATTTGTGTAATTTTCCTCAATGAAAAGTGCATTATGAGCTGCTTTTTCTGTCATGTGGAGTACACCATAAACTCAGTACTAAATATATGTACAGCCATCACATTATGTATCAACTTGCCAATCGTTTTTGAAATAAAAATTTCCAGTTAAAATGTATACATTTTTTGGAGTACAGCTATTATTAATGACAAAAATGTAGCAGTATTTCAGTCAAATAGGCCAGTAGAGATTTTAATTCAAAAGAATTGAGAGTAAAAGTTATATTATTTCCAGAAATATCCCACTTTTGAATATTCATGATTTTGATTGTTTTATATATCACTGTGAAGTGTATGAATAAAATAAGTGAAATTTTCCAACTGCCATAAAACTGTTTTTTATTATGCGTTTTTTATTATGAGATTTCTTACAACAGTAATATTTTTTACTGTTTAAATATCCAAATGTCTCTATTGACAGTCTACCATTGTGCTTTTGTAAAACAATTTCATAATCCATGTCATAAACTGAATGTAGGATGAATTTGACAAACTTAGGTTTCTCTGTAAACAATGGTGCTTGTCATAAAATTATGCCAGCATCCAAGATAGAATACATTAACCTTATAATAATGTGTAATTGTGATAAGCAACATGGAGGAAGAAATCAGGGCAAATGCAGATAAAGGTAGAGCTTTTCCATGCTCTCTTCAGTAATACTTATTATTATTTTGTTTACCGAGAATAGTATGTTTAAAAGGGTACATTCCCATAGGGTTGTGCACAAAATTTGTCAAACTTTCATGATGCCTAATTCCCATTTTACCTTATCCTACCCCCATGAATTTTGGTAAAGTTATGCTTTGGACCACAAGCAATCCATCTAGCCTATTTGTGACAATAAATTTTGCCTCTAGATAGGAGTTAAGACATTTGAGAGACATTGAAATGTCTCCTTAACCCCTTAAGGACGGGGTGTAATGGGGACATTCCTCCACACATAGAGCAAGTGGCCCGCATGACTGCACAGACTTTGTGTGGTAGCGGGACTGCACAAAAGCAGCAGCTGTGAAACTACCCACTAGCCGTGTGCCACGGCATACCACAGCTGGCAACTGCATTCCAATGAGGATTAGCGGCCATGACCGCTTCCCGTGCGCATGGGGTTAATCTAACTTGTCTCCTTTATTAAAGCCCGCCGCAAACTTTTCCAATTTTACCGGTTTGCCGGATCCTCAGGTCAGATTGGAAAGGTGTGTGCTGAAAAATCGAACCGATCGGACCGTACGCTGGGTAACCGGATGAAATCAAACATGTTTTGATTTTTTTGCTTCTGATTTCACTGGAACAGATGTCACCAGAAAGGTGTGCGGACAGCACTCCTGTTTCACCAGACACAATATTTATGTTAACCAATCAGACTGACGAAGCATGTCACATGATTCAAAATTGACGGCTGCCATTTTGTCGTCATGTGACTGGTCATCATGTGACTGGTCATCATGTGACTGGTCATCATGTGACTGGTCATCTTGTGACTGGTCATCTTGTGACTGGTCATCATGTGACTGGTCATCATGTGACTGGTCATCTTGTGACTGGTCATCTTGTGACTGGTCATCATGTGACTGGTCATCATGTGACCAATTATCAAACAGAATCGGGCATGTGTGCAGGTAACCCAGTTTCCTCAACGGTAAAAAAAAACATACTGGTGATCCGGTGAGCTGGTGAACTAGTAAAATCTGAAAAGATGTGCGGTGGGCTTTTGGTATAATTTATGACGAAAATGTACAAGAAATATTATTGTGACTTTTGTTAACCCCTTAAGGACGGGTTATCATGGGGACATTCCTCCACACAGAGAGCAAGTGGCCCGCATGACTGCACAGCCTTTGTGTGGTAGCGGGACTGCACAAAAGCAGCAGCTGTGGAACTACCCACTAGCCCTGTGCCACGGCATACCACAGCTGGCAACTGCATTCCAATGAGGATTAGCGGCCGCGGCCATGACCGCTTCCTGTGCGCATGGGGTTAAGGATGGTTACTATTAACCAAGTACATCAACAAATTCTGTTACATTGAAAATAAGAGTTCTCCAGAAAAGTTTGACGGATACTCTTTGGTCTGAAGGATATTCCATTTACAACCAGATCAGTGGCATTAAACAAACAAGGCCATTGAGGGCTGGAAAACTACTTTAATTTCTACAGATTCAAGACTAATTGTGGACCAACTTCATTTACTATGACAAACAACGGCCCTCGTTTTCTGAAAAAGAAAACTTCTGTCTGTGGATTCGTCTCTGTACACATCACCTCTTGCTCTTCGACCCCAAAATCTACTCTTTTTTTCTTGGGCAAGAGGAACAAATTCAGTGAACTGTCTTAAATAATATTTTAAAATGTCTCTTAAAGGTAAGTTTGCTATTCTCATTAGCTGACTGGTACAAACTGAACAGTGTGATATTTAAAACTTACTTTTGTATTCAGTTTTCACCCTTTCTATGATTTTTTTTTTTTTAATAAAAAAACAAAATAAATGAAAAGATATAAGAGTGTAATCAAATGATCTTTACCACCGTTCCCACTGTAACTTGGCAGTATTTTTCTTGTTTTTCACTTCAGTGACCTGGGTTCGAGTCCCGCCCGCGCCATCAAATTCAGATTGGGTTTTCTGTCCCTTCTTGATTCTGTGGGTTTTCCCTGAAATATTGCGGGGTTATCCTCTCACCTGTAAAACAGGTTTTATATTCTCCCTCTAGGTTTCATAAAGGCAGCTTTATGCTTCATGTGAATGCGAAGCCAGGCAAACACGAGTTCGCAGGGCAAAAAGTAGTCCGAGCATCACCCGTTGTCCAACGGAGCCCTAGCTCCACAACTTATGTCTGATATCTCAGCAATGCACATTGTGTAGGACCCTGCGCGCCAGCCAATTGGAGTTGACTTTAGAAATTGTGACGTCATTTCGATCAGAAATATGGACTAAGTTGTTGATTGGTCAATATGGCTTACAGGTTTTTGTAATACAACAACGGGTTACAGAAGACCCGATAGAAGGCGCTCGCTGAATTGTCAAAATTGCGAGGTCAAGACACAGTCTTGTTTTGCGTAATTAATCACCGAATCTGCTCGCATATCACAAATGCTTTTCATAAACTACGCGAACAAGTGCCGTGATGTCGCAAACTCACATAAGCGTTCTCTTTGGCGCTGAGAATGAACCAGCCTGAAGGCTTCTGAATTACCTTGTACTGTTCAAAAACCCTTAGCTTTACTACCAAAACTAATTTAAAAGCACAAATGTACAACTCTTGACATTGTAAAGACCAGTTCATCACACTCCAGAAATATGTTTAACATGTAAATCCTAATTCATGAATTACAAAACACAATTGTGATACAAAAGGGGAATATTTTCTGACACAGCAAAACCTAACTTGCACTAGCTCTTTTCAATCTGCGGGAGGATTTCGGTGATGATTCCCGTGCCCAGCGTGATCCGGCCGTCACGCAGGGTGAACCTCTGGCCCACCTCCACGACCATGTTCTTCTGTAGCGCCAAGGTCAGGCTAACATCCTCTCCTGATCGTTTTTTTTTGGGAAAAAGAAAAATGATTTCTTTCATTCTTTTTTCCTCCGCCTCATTCCCTTTCATTCTATCTTTATCCACCTTAACACCCCTTTGTTCCTTCCACTGCCCCATCCCCTCTCTTTATTTCCTTTGATCTTTACCTACTGCTACACTCCTTTCGTCCTTCCCCCATACCTCATTCATCTCTTCACAAGTTCCCTTGATGTTTTTCCACTGCCACACTCCTTTGCTCCTTCCCCTACCTCATCCCCTCTCTTTATAACATCCCCTCTCTTTGCAACATCTCTTTTTGAAACATCCCCTTTCTTCACAACATCCCATCTTCCGAAATACCCCATTTCTTTGATCCTTCCCCTGCCTCATCCCCTCTCTTCACAACATCTCCTCTCATCGCAGCATCCCCTCTCTTCGCAACACCCCCTCTCTTCGCAACACCCCCTCTCTTCACAACATCCCCTCTCTTCGCAACATCCCCTCTCTTTGCAGCATCTCTTTTTGAAACATCCCCTTTCTTCACAACATCCCCTCTTCCCAAATCCCCCATCTCTTTGATCCTTCCCCTGCCTCATCCCCTCTCTATGCAACATCCCCTCTCTATGCAACATCTTGTCTCATCGCAACATCCCCTCTCTTTGCAACACCCCCTCTCTTTGCAACACCCCCTCTCTTTGCAGCATCTCTTTTTGAAACATCCCCTCTTCCAAATCCCCCATCTCTTTGATCCTTCCCCTGCCTCATCCCTTCTCTTCACAACATCTTCTCTCATCGCAACATCCCCTCTCTTTGCAACACCCCCTCTCTTTGCAACATCCCCTTTCTTTGCAACATCTCTTTTTGAAATACCCCTCTCTTCACAACATCCCATCTTCCCAAATCCCCCATCTCTTTGATCCTTCCCCTGCCTCATCCCCTCTCTTCGCAACATCTCCTCTCATCGCATCATCCTCTCTCTTCGCAACATCCCCTCTCTTTGCAACATCTCTTTTTGAAGCATCCCCTCTTCCCAAATCCCCCATCTCTTTGATCCTTCCCCTGCCTCATCCCCTCTCTTCGCAACACCCCCTCTCATCGCAACATCCCCTCTCATCGCAACATCCCTCTCTTCGCAACACCCCCTCTCTTTGCAACATCTCTTTTTCAATCATCTCCTCTCTTCACAACATCCCTTCTCCCAAATCCCCCATCTCTTTGATCCTTCCCCTGCCTCATCCCCTCTCTTCGCAACATCTCCTCTCATCGCAACATCCCCTCTTTGCAACATCCCCTTTCTTTGCAACATCTCTTTTTCAATCATCTCCTCTCTTCACAGCATCCCTTCTCCCAAATCCCCCATCTCTTTCATCCTTCCCCTGCCTCATCCCCTCTCTTCGCAACACCCCCTCTCTTTGCAACACCCCTCTCTTTGCAACATCCCCTCTCTTTGCAACATCTCTTTTTACAACATCCCCCCTCTTCACAACATCCCCTCTTCCCAAATCCCCCATCTCTTTGATCCTTCCCCTGCCTCATTCCCTCTCTTCGCAACATCTCCTCTCATCGCAACATCTCTTTTTGAAACATCACCTATCTTTGCTACCCCCTCTCTTTGATCTTTACACACCTGAACACTCTTTTGTTCCTTTCCCTGCCTCATCCCCTCCCTTCACAACTGACCCCCTCCTCTGATCTCTAGACTCCTTTGTTTTTTTCACCTCCCCCCCCCCCTTCTCCACTCAACTTGTTTAACTCTTTTGTGCTTTTCCTTCTTCCCATACATGCTTGTGTGTTCCTTACTCAATTGTCTGTAACCCTGACATTTCTTTTGCCATTGACAAAGATCCTGCTAGCAGGTAAATTACTCCATTTCTTTTTTGAATTTCTTAAACTTGCTAACTTTTACGTTTTATCTTTGCAGATTCATGTAAATGTTGGAAGACGTACCTGGCATGACCATTTCTTTGCCCTCAGGTAAGGTGATTCTGGCCGACGTGTCCCATGTATAGGAGAACATGACCGGAGTGAAGTTGCTGACAAACGGCTTGTGTCTGCCGCCCTCGTCCTTTGTGAGAATGTAAACCTGACCAAAAACAGGACAAGAATGTTAACTATTAACAATTGCTTCGAGGGATATTTTCTGGCCTGTTTCAGCAGAGGGGAAGACAGCCCCACCCCCCAAAAAATTTGTGAGGTACGTGCAGAATGAGTTGCGTAGAAATCTTCCCCTTTTCTTGACTATTTTGGAAATTCAACGTTTAGAGCTTGTGACGTCAGAGTTCGGCCACAGCTTTTGACTGGTCAATAGCTGCGGGTTACCGAAGACACGATAGAAGGCACCCGCTGAATGGTCAGAATCTCCAGGTCAAGACGCAGTATTGTTTTGCATAATCTGCACGCATATGGCAAGCGTCTTTATAGGTAGAACACCAAAATATGTGTGCAGCCCCAATGTGAAGTGGTTTGATTACAAACATCTTGTTTTTGACGGTGACCCGATTGTTCAGGGCCATGAACCTGAGGCACGTGTTGTTGCTAGGGCCTAAGGGATAAGGTGATTGATACCCGTGACATTTGTTACAAACCAACCAACCAACCAACCAACGGAGAGACATGAGCATTTCTAGAGTTGCTTTTCGCAGCTAAAAAGAAGGGGGGAAGGGGGATTCTGGCGGTGACCCGATTGTTCAGGGCCATGAACCTGAGGCACGTGTTGTTGCTAGGGCCTAAGGGATAAGGTGATTGATTGCCGTGACATTTGTTACAAACCAACCAACCAACCAACGGAAAGACATGACCATTTCTAGAGCTGCTTTTCGCAGCTAATAAGGAAGGGGGGAAGGGGGATTCTGGCGGTGACAGGGCCATGAACCTGAAGCATGTGTTGTTGCAAGGGCCTAAGGGACAAGTTGATTGATTGCCATGACATTTGTTACAAACCAACCAACCCACCAACCAACCAACGGAGAGACATAAGCAACTAAAAAGAGAGGGAAGGAGGATTCTGGCAGTTTTAAGGTTCTGACTATAAACTACCTGTGCTTTGATGTGGTTGTTTGCTTTGTAGGTGTTGGGTCGGCACAGCATCATGCCTCGCTTGATCTGATCTCGCTTCACGTTCCTGACCAACGTACCCATCTGGTCGCCCGCCTCTCCCTTGTCAAGAATCTTGTGGAACATCTCGATGCCTGCAGAGAAAACCAAAAGAAGAAAAGAGTAACGTCCTAATCTTCTGAACTTCGCAACCCTTCAAGTTTTGCAAAACCACTTTTGCAAACCCACTTTTGCCAATAGAGTTAGCACCCACACTTTGAATTCCGCTTAAGTAATCTTCCGTGGAGTATGGATAACACTTCAAATCACTTGCACGATTCTTTAATGCAGGCCTCCCCTTTGAAAATGCCTTCATACCTGTAATAACAGACTTAATCTTGGCGTCCTGCCCAATAAACTCTACTTCTTCATTCTTGGTGATGTACCCTCTTTCGACCCTGCCGGACACAACGGTGCCTCTTCCTGTGAAAACAAAATGCAAATGTCAGACAATTCTTTTTAGATTTTGTTTGCAAAAAATTTTTTTTGCAAAAGGCAACATTTTCCAGCCAACTTCTGATATACGGTGGGACGCCGCTATAACGAACATCGTGGGATCCACAGAAAATGTTCGTAATAGTGATTGTTCGGTATAGCGATTTTAAGCTGCCGGTGCTCCGGTACTCACTTTTCAATAAATGGCACTCTTCATAACTTCACCCTGCACGCCCTGGAAGTTACTGAAAGACAACTTCGAACATGTGCGGACTATTGAATTATGTAATTACACAGTTTTGAGCTTACTACCTACATTGATGGGTGGCTTTCCCCTTCTATGCCTTGGGGAAATAATAGCCACTTGTCGCTCTTCTGTTGACAGTTTTCAACAACAATGTTCAGTTGGTTTTGTACACAAAAATCGGGAGCCAAGGATGATGTTTGGTATAGCCGAATGTTAGGTATGGCAGTGTTCGGTATAGCGACGTTCCACTGTACAGCCAAACCCCACGAATACTGACAGTATCATTTTAACAGTATTTCTACGATATTTCTTGCCAATGGCCAATTCAAGATCAACACACAGTCCGCCTCCACAGACTTCACGGACTTTGTGTGTGTACAAAAGGCACGAGGGAGAAGCATGTTTAGACATCATCCGGAGGTGAGTCGAGGCAATCTTGACGTCTTAACCCGTCAGCCATGCCTGTGTGTAAAAACAGCCAGTGCGTGTTATCACGTCCTCCGACGCTAACTGGTTAAATGGCAAATTACACAGTACTGAAGGTAACAGGGACAGGAAAAAATGTCACACTATGGACCCTAAATTTGTAGAATTACCAAAATGGTTTTCATGATATCATAACCGTTTTACATAGAGTTTTTACCTTCTATCGAGTAGACCTGTTCGACGGGCATTAGGAAAGGTTTTTCCAGGTCGCGGGGAGGGAGAGGGATCCACTCATCCACGACTTCCAGAAGTTTCTTGACGGACTCGACGCCAATGTCTGGACTCTTATTCTGCAGGGAATTGTGTCAAAAATTTCACTTCATTTGTATTTGTGCTATTAAATCCTGGCAAAAATCTCCTAAATGAGTACGTAGATTTAATATTTCATATGTTTTCACAGATGTTTAACTTGTTCTCCTTCTTCCAATATGATATTTGGTTTCATCGTGAAAATCCTTTTTTTATATTTGTCTGTTAACTGTCTTTCTACTTTGAGTGTCTGCATCCCTCCAACAAAAAAGGCTTTAATTTGAATAACTTTTTTGCCTGTAATGCACAAACTGACCCGCCAGAATTATCTTCAGGCCAAAACATTCAAAATTTGTAAAATAATTATTCCATAACTAAATGTGGTATTTTATCATTTGTTTCTTGTTCCGAACTTTTGTTTGCTAGAAAACTAGTAAATAAATTGAGTTTTTATTTTGATTAACCCTTACTGCCTAGAATGATTTACAAGGAACCATACCCATCCTGGCAAATTCCAACACCTGGGAAACTGCACACACATACTTCTGACTTTGATTCTGGAGGTGTGCCGACCCAATGTAAAAGACTGTCGGTTTAGGGGTACTGTACCCATCCTGACAGATTCCAACAAAACATGCCGTTGGGGTTTGATGGGTTGAGTTCTGTTAGGGTTAAGATAAGGTAAACACACCCACCTCCAGCGCACACAGAGCTGACCCGATGATAATGGGTGTGTTCTCGCCGTCGTAGCCGTACTCCGACAAAACGTCCCTCATCTCTAACTCTACCAGCTCCAACATCTCAGAATCCACCGCGTCTGCTTTGTTGATGAACACCACTATGTGGTCCACTCCGATCTGAATAACAATGATGGGAATTCACATTTAATTTGGTAAAGGTTTAGCAGGGATTTCAGGGACCGATTGAAATATTTTAGCCAACCCTTAAAAACGCTGCCCCGGCCGTAGTATGAGTCTGTGCAAGATCTGAAAAACAGGTATTTTCCCCCCCTCTAACATAATTGTGGAGAACCATGTTTTAATGGTTACAGTGTCTGATTCATGTGTGTTGGTGAATGGTTTGTGGTCTTGAGCAGGACACTTTACTACAACTGCGCCTTCCAAGCAGAAGTACACCTGGGCAGTGGATCTTTGTGTTTGTTGTGTTTGATATTGTTGTTGTCTGTTGTTTGTTGCTGTTGTTGTTTGATGTTGTTATTGTTACTGATCTGCTGAGTTACCTGCTTAGCAAGCAGCAGATGTTCGCGGGTCTGGGGCATCTGTCCGTCGGTGGCAGCCACTACCAGGATAGCCCCCTCCATCTGAGCAGCTCCTGTGATCATGTTCTGGAGAAAAAAACAACATCAACTTGCTACATCAAGCCCCCAGTCGATGAAATACAAAATATTTTTCAATAACTCAACCCATCAAAGTTCAACAGCAAGTTTTGTTTAAATCTGTTGGGATAGGTACAGTACCCCTAAAACTGATGGTCTTTGACACTGGGGTTGGCATACCTCCAGAAACTAAGTCCAACAGTGTGTGTGTACAATTTCTCATGTGGGTGTTGGAATTTGCCAGAATGGGTATGGTTCCTAGTAAATTAGGCTGGGGAGATAAGGTCAAGGACAAAATGTCCACACGACATTCATTTTCAAACTCATCAATGTCCCACATGGAAAAATGCTGAGACGACGATATCGGAAGTTAAATGTAGGGGGGGGGGGGCGGAAGTAGGGTAGTTGGGGGTGGTCGGCGGGAAGGGGGTAGTGGGGTTTGCAGTGTTGCCCCCACTCTTGTTTATTTAGGTTAGGTCAATGGGAAGCAAGTAGTAGGGAAGGCCCAGTTCTTACCTTTATGTAATCAGCATGGCCCGGGCAGTCAGTGTGGGCGTAGTGCCTGTTAGGCGTCTCATATTCCACGTGGGCTGCGTTGATGGTGATACCACGCTTCTTCTCTTCGGGAGCTTTGTCGATCTCGTCGTACTTGTGATACTTGGCATTGCCTTCCTCAGCAAGCACTGGTGGTAATATCAGAAAGTACAATAATTATGAAAAGTGATTTACATGCACATGTAAGACAAGGTCTGATGGACTTGAAACTTGGTAGATACATTGTACATTTGTATAGAGTCCTATTATTAGAAACTGATCTCAATGATATTCAGGCCCTTTTTTCCTTTCTCTTTTTGGGAGCTTTGCCAATCTTGTCATACTTGTGAAGCTCTGCATTGCTTTCTTCAGCAAAGAAATTTTTGAAAAGAAATGCATTTTTTTTTTAATATGTGACATGTTCCGTCAAAATCAGACTTTTCTGGGCACAAGGTCAAACATGAGAATTTACATATTGTTAAAATATGTGCATTTTCCTTTTTAAAATGTGGTAAAATTTTTGAAACCGGTCATTCCTGGGCAAAGTTATGCTACTTTGAAGTTCATTGTGTCGAAAAGTAGACAACGGAGAAAATGGCCACAAACGTCACCAAACAGACATTTCTTGTAACTGATGTACAAATCATCAAAAATACTATATTTAGAGTTCAAATTAGGGTTTCAAACGTTTATAGAATATTTTAGACATGTTCAGGATTACAAATATGCAAAAATTAGAAAGTAAAAAAAAAACAAATCACCCCCACAGCGTCTTTTTGGCCCTATCTCAATTTCAACCTCTGCCCAGAAACGTCTGCTTTTGACAGAACAGGTCAGACAAGGTGTGGCTGTCATGAAAGTTGGTAGGCACGTAGTATGGAGTTCTGGTTTGCACATGTTTTAGGACCAGTTTCTGTTAAGTCTCATTAATATGAACCAATAACAATGATGTTTCTCCCTTTTTAGATGGAGGGTGGGGTTGGGGGTGGGGTGGGGGGGGGGGCTTTCATTGGTTTCAGAATGGGAAAGAGATATAGTGTCAGATGTTCAGTGCCTCATTACCTTTTGTGATTGCAGCAGTCAGCGACGTTTTCCCGTGGTCGACGTGGCCAATGGTGCCGATATTGACGTGGGGCTTCCGGCGCTCAAACTTCGCCTTGGCCTCGGCGGCATAGAGTGGCGCGGCTACTCTGGAGATGTGTCTCGTCTGCAGAAGACATGGCTTGGTGTTCTGCAACAACCACGAAAAGACAAATGGTTGTTAAAGGGAATATACATCATTTGCTTTTGCTGTAATTTTCAGAAATGGATGGAATTGGGGGGTTGGAAATATAGAGCAAATATAGTTACACTGACTTTTTTGAGGTTTTGGGTTCGAAAATGCTATAAAAAACCAAGAAAAACAATCATTTTCTTGTAGTCTGGTTCCCTGACTCCATATAAGAAGAAACAGAGCATACATACATTGGGGAATTGTAAGGTCAGGGAACCAGTCTAGCTGGCTTGTACCCGTTCATAGGTGTGTAATCGATTGCAAACAAGTGCGATGGTCAATTGGGGCCAGTATTTGAAAAAAAGCCAGTGTTTTCCAACGCTGGTCGGCCAACCAGCGTTGGAAATTGATACAAAAATATCAAAATTTGATACAAAAATATCCAAATAAGTTGGCAGCGCTACTATTTGGCAGCTCCACTTCAGGCTCCGATCTCTGACTTTGATCGACCTATTCTTCTGCAATTTCTATCATGATTTTTACACCAAGATACAGATTAGGAACTGCTGATCAGCATGGTTCGCCAAACTTACTGTGATATGATCCCATTTTGGAGAATATTTGGGATCTTTTTCTGGACATTGCTGTGTACTTTGATCATCAGTACAGCAGCCCACGCTCCAGCTTCCACACAACACCGATCACCAACAATAGCGATCAAGAAGACAAGCACTTACAATGGACCACCACCAACAACAGCAATCAAGAAGACAAGCATTTACAATGGACCACCACCAACAATAGAGATCAAGAAGTCAAGCACTTACAATGGCCCTGCACCTAATCCTCATGGTGAATGCATTGTGCCTCAACACCTACATGGATTAGCCAATTGTCAGCAAGGGACAGTAATGATGACTTCTGCCCAGGCATTCTGTCTTCAATTAAAGTACCAACCTACAGAGCTCTATTCCCTGTACCAAGGGCCTGATTTCTACACCACATGTCCACTCCAGCCACAGATATGCAGGAAAATCACATATGTAAACATCAGACGGACACCATGCATGATTCATGCACCAGTGGACGTCACAAAGACAGATGACCCTCGAAAACGCACAACTCTACGCAGACGATCTCGTAGAGGTTGCAAAGCAGGGATTCACAGAAGGAGGCCAACTCCCCAAAGTTTGATTCCAGTAATTATTGGTTATGGAAGACAAACTTCTTTTTCCACTGGTGAATATCATCCGGACTATCTACACAATGGATCTGCGAACTGTTGCCAAAGTAACCTAGTGCAGCTTACTGCAAACAAGACGGCGAAAGCAGAACATACTACCTCCTTCTGTATGCTCAACGCAAGATCTCTGAAAAATAAAACCAACGCCTTCGTTGACTTTGTTATCGACAATAAATTTGATATTGTTGGTGTCTGCGAGACATGGCTATCCGCTGACGATGATGCTGTAATTGCAGAACTCAACCCTGGAGGATACACGTTCAAGCACATACCAAGGACAGGTAAACGAGGTGGCGGTGTCGCCTTTCTATATCGGAGTGATTTAACTGTACAAATCCATCCAGCCCTTGATAATATCAGTTCCTTTGAACTGATACAGATGGATATCATCCAGAACTCAAACGCTGTACACCTGGTCGTCGTCTACAGACCTCCAGGATCATCAACTCCTTTCAAAGATTTTCTAAATGAGTTCTCGGATGTACTGGACAACTACCTTTTCAAGAAGGCCAGTTTGATTATTTCCGGAGATTTCAACATCCACGTTGATACAACTTCACCTGAGGCCAGAGGTTTCTGTGATGTTCTAAGTGCATATGGCCTTGAGCAACACATCCGTCAGCCAACCCATATATGTGGCCACACTCTAGACCTGCTTATTTCACGGAAAGGGATCGACCCCACAGGACTGTCTGACATTGACATAATCGGTGGTATTTCTGATCACTCCGCCCTTACTTGCAACCTACATACTCCAAGTATGCGAACTGCCCGGAAGTCTGTTGTGTCACGAAACATTCAGTCTATACAACCTGCTTGCTTCATCGAGGATTTGAATGAAGCGTCATTCACAGAGAAATGCACTGTGAGCAACGCAGATCTGGCTGTCGGCAGCTACAACTCCATTCTGATAGCTACTTTGAACACACATGCTCCTGTCCAACAACGTTCAGTGAAAATTCGACCAAATACTCAATGGTACACCCAGAAAATAGCAGATGGAAAACTTCTTCGTAGGCAGCTTGAAAGGAAGTGGCGATCTTCCAAGCTTGAAATACATCGTCAGTTGTATCGCCAACAATGTCAGCGAGTCCAATCGTTAGTTCGTGCTGCAAAAACAGGGTACAACTTGAAACGAATTAACGACTGCTCAGGTGACACGAAAAGACTGTTCAGAGTTGCAAGCGATCTTTTGAACAGAAAGCAGCCTTCCCCTCTTCCAACACATGTTTTCGCTGAAGATCTAGCTGCTCGTTTCAGCAACTTCTTCACCAGCAAGATAGAATCTATTCGTGCCAGTCTGCCAGCCATCAATCAAACATCTTCGTCACGTAAAACTCGTGCAGTCTTAGACACTCTTGCTCCTGCATCTACAGATGAAGTTCGCAACATCATGGCAAGGTCACCAGCAAAGTCATGTGAGTTAGACCCGATCCCTACCTCTCTTCTAAAAAAATGTATGTCTGCCATTACCCCAGTCATCACTAACATCATCAATGTGAGCTTGGATACTGGAGTCGTTCCTGAAGTCCTAAAGAGAGCGATTGTTCGACCAACATTAAAGAAACCTGGTATGGACACAAATTCCTTGCAGAGTTACCGTCCAATATCCAACCTTCCATATCTCTCCAAAGTCTTGGAACGTGTGGCATTCTCTCGTCTCTCAGATCATTTGCAGGAACATTCGCTACTTGACAGCAATCAATCAGCATACCGTTCAAATCATAGCGTAGAAACACTTCTCACAAATTTAACGGACAACGTACTTCAACAAATGGATAATGGAAACATCACAGCCCTTGTTCTGCTTGACATGTCCTCAGCATTTGACACGGTAGACCATCGTATCCTCATCGATCAGTTATGCTCGTTGGGAGTCAGCGGAACAGCTTTGCAGTGGTTCATGTCCTATCTGACAAATCGCTCTCAGCGTGTATGCATCAGAAATGCAAAGTCTGAAGCTAGCCATCTTGCTTATGGTGTCCCCCAGGGATCAGTCGGTGGTCCTCTCTTGTTTTCAATATATCTTCAACCTGTAGGTAATATCATCAACGCGCACAACATCAAATACCATTGTTATGCTGACGACATACAGCTGTATGTTTCTTTCCCACCATCTGCCATTGCTATGTCATCCGCAGCAAAACAACTGGAGGCATGCATCAAACACATCAACACGTGGATGGACTCTAGCGGTCTAAAACTCAACCACTTGAAGTCTGAACTCATTCTTCTGGGCTCAAAGCAAATGCTTGGCAAGGTGGATACGAAGGGTTTTCATGTACAAGTGGGTACTAGCAGTATCTACTCATCTGCCAAAACTCGCAATCTTGGTGTCATCTTCGACACCAATATGTCCTTCCATGACCACGTTTCCCATGTGTCTAGGTCAATCAGATACCAACTTCGCAACCTTGGTTTTGTTCGCAAGTACCTGAGTCGGAATGCAACTGAACAACTAGTCCACGCCCTCATTTCTTCACGCCTTGATTTCTGCAACTCCATATTTGTAAGCCTCCCTCAACAACAGCTAAATAAACTGCAACGCCTCCAAAATTCCGCAGCCAGACTAGTCACTCTCACCAAGAAAGCATGTCACATAACACCTGTCCTTCAGTCTCTTCACTGGCTGCCCGTTGACAAACGCATCACCTTCAAAGTTCTGTTGTTGGTCTACCACGCAGTCCATGGCTCCTCACCAGTCTACTTACAAAACTCAATACAGGCATACCACCCCCCACGCAGGCTTCGATCATCAGACTCCTCCCTTCTTCAAGTTCCTCGATCCCGACACTCTTGGGGTGACCACAGCTTCTCTCACGCAGGCCCCACTCTCTGGAACAGTCTACCCCTCTCTATCCGTCAAGCTCCCTCTTCGATCTCCTTCAAACAAGAACTCAAAACCTACCTGTTCACATCCTAATCTCCTCTTCGGCCTGCACCTTGCAATTCATATGTCTTGAACCTAGCATTTATAATTTGTAGTTTTTGTCATTTATAATTTTTGTCATTTAAGTTTTGTAGTTTGTGCTTACTCTTTGTATAGCGCCATGAGCGTCACCTAGTGATGGACCTGTTTGCGCTTAATAAGATGCCACTATTATTATTATTATTATCACTTTCCTTGGAAATGACAGTATACCAGGTGTCATGATTTTACAGGATGCTTTACACTGTCATTCACTAACAGTCCAGCAAGGTATTTCAAAATGATTTGGTAGTTTTATTTTTTGACGTTTGCAAATGTTGTATTTTCCCTTTAACATCAAATGTACATTGATGTGAGATTGTATGGGCAGCTTTTGTTATTTGAATTCAGTGACAATGAAGGTTCAAAATGTCTACTTATATATATCGCAGGAAAAATTGTATTCTGTTCCTGTAGATGTCTAGATATCCTGTGATTTTCAGGCGAAGTTTTCAGGGAGTTCGTCCAACAATGACTGCTGAAGTTGTCAGGGGTCATGTACCAATGACCTTTTGATTTTCCCCGGTTATTAACCCCATGCGCACGGGAAGCGGTCATGGCCGCGGCCGCTAATCCTCATTGGAATGCAGTTGCCAGCTGTGGTATGCCGTGGCACACGGCTAGTGGGTAGTTCCACAGCTGCTGCTTTTGTGCAGTCCCGCTACCACACAAAGGCTGTGCAGTCATGCGGGCCACTTGCTCTATGTGTGGAGGAATGTCCCCATTACACCCCGTCCTTAAGGGGTTAACTACATGAACTAGGTAAATATACTCCATTGTGAAAAAACAGTCCCGAATTTTGATTCCCTTCAAAACAAATTTTCCCCACATGTTGCCATTACCGATGTGCGGCTCACAATATGGAGGACGTCCAGTATTTTGAGCCACATGTATGCAGCTAAGGCCAAAAAAAAAAATAAGTCGGTCACTGATCAGCGAGCGCGTCGATTTTAATCATGCGCGTCAATCTTTTTTTTCTCCAAAATGTTCCGCGGTAGCTCCAACAGCGCCCTCTATTTCCGCACCTCCTCAATTTTTTTTACCAAAGAGCACCAAGGAATGGGAAATTGCACCAAGGCAAATGATCGAAAGCACCAAGGCAAATTATGGAGGACACCAATGTACATGAGGACACCAAAAAAGCAAAATAGTACCCACCTTGTCTGTACAATCCAAGATTGAAGAAAAAAAAAAAAAAGCAAAAAAAAAAAAAAAAAAAGCCGCGTGGCCGCGTCAATTCCGGAACTTTGGTCTGACCAGAGACCAAATAATTTTTTTTTTTAGTTTAAGTATGAAACAACCGTTACTAATATTTTGTTAGATACTGTTAAATATTTCTTGCAACTTACTCTGATGGCACTGTCCAGCAGTCCTTGGGTGAGACTGCTGCGAACACCTAGAGAATAAATTAAAAGTAACCAAAGGGTCATTCCGTGTCAATTCAACACGATTTTGGACAGATTGAAACGATATTTGGTGTGTTGATTGGCCTATATGAGAAACCCCCACACTTGAATTTTTTTTTTTTTGTAGTTTGGTTCTTTACATTTTTGCAGGTCAGCGAAATTTTTACTAACTATGACCTCCGAACATTAAATACTTGAATCTCCAAAACTATAGCGCCTACAAAGCCAAGTTGTACATCATATTTAAGCTCTTTGAATGGCCTCCATTTCATAATTAAACCAAAATCATACAATGAAGCGCAGAGAAAATGTGTAACAAAATGACCTTTGACCTTGCACTACGAAAAACAATATGTGGGTCATTCCATGCCAACTCAACAAATGGTGCACACCATCACCTCTTGGATTTTTTTCTTTTTTGGTGTACTGAAAGATACTTAGGAGAAATGCAAATTCTGAAAATTTGGGGTCTCTACGACTTTTCGTTCTTGTGCAACAGCATTTTGAAATTTGAGGTGGGCGGGGCCGGGCCAGGGCGAAAAGTGCGTTGCGTCACGAAATTCAATGTTAAAAGGGCCATATATTTAAAACTATACCCCCCAGACATTTCAAACTTGATAATCTGGGCTATTTTTTGTTGTAGATTTCAAATATTTAAACAGAAAGAAAGTAGCTTGTTTCATTTTTAAGTTAGAGGGGCCCCAAAATGGCCCAAAACTCATCTGGACCATTGTTTGGGGGGTGCAAGTCAAAAATTGAAAATATTTTTTTCACCAATTTTTTTGCCTGTAATAGCCCCCAAACTACATGTACTTTCATGTAAAATCTTATATTAACTTCATTGAATGAGATACATTTGTATAGCCCTTGCAAAAAGCAAATTGTCTATTTTTACGATAACTTGACCCCCCCCAAAAACCAACATCAGACATTCTGCACCAAATTTTGCTTCACATATGTTTGAGGTTGGTCCTTAGTGAAGTCCTCTGAAAAGTTTCATGTTGGTGTCTAAATGTCTTCAGTGGATAGCTGGGCTTTATAAAGAGTCTATATCTTACGATGCTGGTTCTGTAACATACAAGTACATGTACATGTACTTGTATTTTACGAAACCAGCACAACAAAAACCCCCGACTGTTGAAAGACTTGGGTCAAGACTACCCATTTCCTGCTCAATAAACAGTTGCTTGTAGACCTACATGTGCATTATATGCAATTTAGGTTAAATGACTTGAGAGTCCTATTCTTTCCATGTGCTCATCACACAGCATGCATGTCATGTTTGTAGTATTATCCAGTTCTCACTTGCACAGCATAGTGTAGCACTAACCTGAACCAAAGAGAAGTGATTCAGTTTGAGTTGATCTTAGTTTTCATTATAGATAAGGGGAAACCTAGTTCATCCAAAGAGTTACATGAATGCTCAAACTCATCATGCACCAATTGTAGTAGCTGACCTCAACCCAGGAAAAATGTTTGTGTGGTCTATGATGATGTTTGGTACATTGCTATTGTAGAAGATGTATCACAACTTCATGAGGATGTATATGTCCACTTCACGTTGGTGTCTAAATGTCTTCAGTGGATAGCTGGGCTTTATAAAGAGTCTATATCTTACGATGCTGGTTCCGTAACATACAAGTACACGTACTTGACGTTGGTTTTTTGGGGGTCAAGTTATCGTAAAAATAAACAATTTGCTTTTTGCAAGGGCTATATCTCATTCAATGAAGTTAATATAATCAACAAATACTCTCTTTTGGCCACAAAGAGAGGATAAATGTAAACTAACATTCCATTTGTTGATGTGTTGTGTTGCGTACCAACACCAGAACTTCTACATAGCGGTGGAAGGCAAAACAAACTTAGTGAGCCAACCATCATGCAACTCATTCAACTTCATCAAAACTACATCACAAGGAATGCATAATTTCACCTGTGAAACTGTGAACAATTATATCAACTGATCAAAAGTCTACATGTACAAATGTAAGCTAAGTTTCATACCCAACTTATTCTTTATGTACCGACTGCTGTTATTCTATGTACGTGTACTTGTATGTTAATGAACCAGTAGTTTCAATTGGGGGCTATTACAGGCAAAAAATTTGGTGAAAAAAATATGTTAAATTTTTGACTAACACCCCCCCCCCCCCCCCCCCCCCCCCCCCGAACATTGGTCCAGATGAGTTTTGGGCCATTTTGGGGCCCCTCTAACTTAAAAATGAAACAAGCTACCTTCTTTCTGTTTAAATATTTGAAATCTACAGCAAAAAAATAGCCCAGATTACCAAGTTTGAAATGTCTGGGGATATAGTTTTAAATATATGGCCCTTTAAACATTGAATTTCGTGACGCAACGCACTTTTCACCCTGGCCCGGGCCCGGCCCCGCCCACCTCAAATTTCAAAATGCTGTTGCGCAAGAACGAAAAGTCGTAGAGACCCCAAATTTTCGGAATTTGCATTTCTCCTAAGTATTGTAATGAAAATAGGACTTCATCATTACCTTCCTCCCCACCTTCTATTTTTGGTTTAGCCTGCCCCTCTCATCCATCACACCCCTGAGCCGAGTGTGTATCAGTCCAGCCAGGCATGCAGCATCTTATTTGCATAATTCTATTGTAAGCCCCATGTGCATGGAATTTGAACTAGCCATGTGTGCTTCAGTCTGCTGGGTGCTGTGCTAGGGATAGGTTGTCTGTGGAGGGCTGTGCAGGTTTTGTCTGGGCGTGGCAAGGAAAGACCTTGATGTAATGACCACGTAAGTTGTAGTGCATGACAACTTTTAAATCCCCCCTGGGTTGGGAGTAGAGTTATATGGTGCTTTTACCATAAGCTACCCCACTCACTTGACCATCACCGAGCCCCGCCCTTTGTAATTTCTCATAATTAATTGTTTTCCTTGCAATTATTTCTACAACAAATTCCTTTATTCTTACTTTAATTAAAGAACTTAAATTGTAGTTGCCCCTAAAATTAGAAGTAATTACTAGAAATAAGTAGACGGATCCAATCTTTCTTAATAAATTTATTTACTTGAAGCCCAAACGTCTTCTCTCTCTACCCAGTTATTTGTTTGTCTCGCTGCGGCACCTGACCACGCTACAATTGGTGGCAGCGGTGGGATTCGAACCCACGCCATCGAAATGACTGGTGCCTAAAATCACTGGCCACTTCTGTGTCCCAAACATCATTAACATTCATCTATGTTAATGTCTGGTGGAACAAAACTAACAAAACTAACAAAAGCAAGGAGTCAAATCGCCCTTTCTTTGGAAGAATGCACGCAAATCTTCCTTTTTTTTCTCCACAATTATTTTAAAAGTAATTTTTACACACTAAGGCGGAGTCAATCTCCTCTCCAACCCCAGCATTTAAGTTATTCAACCTCGCCTACCTTACAATGAACAAGATTTTGAATATTAGTATGTTTTTAAACTTATTTTAAACTACGATTAACACTTGAGCCTTTGTTTCTCTGAAAAAAGGAATCCCACCGCTGCCACCAATTGTAGCGTGGTCAGGTGCCGCAGCGAGACAAACAAATAACTGGGTAGAGAGAGAAGATGTTTAGGCTTCAAGTAAATAAATTTATTAAGAAAGATCCGTCTACTTATTTCTACTAATTATTACTAATTACTTCTAATTTTAGGGGCAACTACGATTTAAGTTCTTTAATTAAAGTAAGAATAAAGGAATTTGTTGTAGAAATAAATGCAAGGAAAACAATTAATTATGAGAAATTACAAAGGGCGGGGCTCGGTGATGGTCAGTGTGAGTGGGGTAGCTTATGGTAAAAGCACCATAACTCTACTCCCAACCCAGGGGGGATTTAATTAAGTTGTCATGCACTACAACTTACATAGTCATTACATCAAGGCCTTTCCTTGCCACGCCCAGGCAAAACCTGCCCAGCCCTCCATAGACAACCTATCCCTAGCACAGCACCCAGCAGACTGAAGCACACATGGCTAGTTCAAATTCCATGCACATGGGGCTTACAATAGAATTATGCAAATAAGATGCTGCATGCCTGGCTGGACTGATACACACTCAGCTCAGGGGGTGTGATGGATGAGAGGGGCAGGCTAAACCAAAAATAGAAGGTGGGGAGGAAGGTAACGATGAAGGGCTATTTTCATTACAGTATCTTTCAGTACACCAAAAAAGAAAAAAATCCAAGAGGTGATGGTGTGCACCATTTGTTTAGTTGGCATGGAATGACCCATGCTTCAAATTCCGTATTTTTTTCCAGATGTTAGGTTAAGAACAGGATGATGTAGGCCTAAACAACAATCTTGGAAAATTTTGTGATGGGCGCTCGTAAAGTTTTCAAGTTATGATTTTTTAAAGATAGCAATAGCATGTCCAGGAAAAAGTAACATTAAAGGTTTCGTTTGACTTTAAATTTAAAGTTTACATGGCATGGGTTTGGAAGATTTGTAAAGGGATTTTAACGTTGGCATGGTTGGAGTATTTAAACGTTTAACATGTTTAAACATTTGGAGTAATTGCAGAATACCCCGCCACTCGGAAATACACCCCTAAAATCTCTGGCTATGAGGTTGGAATCATGGAAAAGAAACAATTCAAGTCCATTGCTAGCTACGCGGTTACTGAGTGGGGGTCTTCTTGAGAACGAAGTAACACAAAATGAATGGGAGTTGCTGAAAAAAATTCTAAGTCCAAACCAACTACCCTGTTGCCGGCTACGCGGATACGAAGTGGGAGTCCTTATAAGTTATATGCTTGAGTCTACGACATGTACGAAGCAACACAAAAGTAATGGGAGTTGCTGAAAAAATTCTAAGTCCAAACTAGACCTGTGAACGTGGCTATATACATAGCCACGCTTCAGTCTATAGTGAAAACAGTCTATTGTAATCCGCGGTTACTAAGATGGAGTGACCGTTCTAGCCGAATTTCGGCTAAATTTGACAGATTATTTGCATACAAAAATGAGTTGTACAGAAAATCAGAAGAATATTTTTTTCGGCAGAATTATGAAGATGAAGGAAAATGAAAAAGATTAGAGAAATATGGCACATTTGGTTTGAAAAACCTTCATTTTTTTGAAAGAAACCTGAAACAAACCCTTTCACAATGGAACAACAATATTTACTGGGTGATTTGGCAGTCTTTCGAAGTGGATTTAGCAGAATTTTATATGGTATTAGGGTCATCCTGCCATGTAAGACGTTTAGTTGGGTACCCACTGGTGATACTCCTACCGTATTGCGCATGGGGACCTCGGGGTACCAGAGTGTCATGCCTGTCTTTGATTTTCTGATCATTTTGAAAACATTCGTTGTGACAAAGTTGTGCCGTACTTTACATCAAATTTCTTGGCAAGGACAGATCCAACACTCGCGTAAATTCACAGGAAGCCCAACAAATAAGTGATTTTACCTATGGGCAAAATTAAACATGATTATATGTTATATTATATCAAAAGATAGAATGCTTTCGCTTGTATTTACCCGAGGGAAGCGTGTGGCGTTGTATACAACGCCACGTTCACGGGTCTAAGTCCAAACCAACTACCCTGTTGATGGCTACGTGAATACGGAGTGGGAGTGCTGCAGTGGAGCATGACGCAATACATACATGTAGCGCTGAGAGTGAGAAGGTTTATTTGAGGGCAATCAACCGTGACTCCGTAGCCGGACGGCTACGAGCCTACGGCATGTACGGGGTGCATAGATCGAGTGGCAGGGTATTCTGCAATTGTGCCAAACATTTATGTGTAAACTTCTGCTTTTCAAATCCTGCTTTTTTTTTAAAAATTACATTTCCATTTTTTCTAATGATCTCATTCAAGTCAAGGTAAATCATGGAGGAAGGTAAATAAAGTCCGAGAACCATTCGGTTGGTAGTCTGGTCCCGAGACGATCCTGACGTCGAATATTGTCAGTTCATGCAGGTCAGGAAACCAGACATGTCAGACGGCAAAAATTTGAGAAAGACAACCAGAACCAACCATCAAAATTTACTGCGATGGCAGCTTTCATGATGAAAATTAACTAACAAATTGGTTAACACAATTATGCAGTAAACTAAGTCATGGAAATTCATATTATTATTTTGACACAAAAGCAATAACATGGAGATATAATTACCTGACAATGTACTGCACAAGCGGTACGAAATCATAGCGGCCATGCTTTCATAACTTCAATCACGCACGTTTAAATATACGCAAGAAATGGTACATAAAACAGCTGTCGGTTGAAACCTTATTACTTTTTCAAGAATGTTAATTCGTGTTTAAAAGTCTCAAATTTATATTTATTTTACAGTGAAAAAGAAAAAATACTGTTTAACATTTCTTTGTGTTTAATTTATAAATTTTATATTGACTATTCATGCTTTTAATTTAGGTGAATTAACTTATCACAATGTCCCCTCCGGAAATATACCAGCTGCCGGCATGCATCCAGAAAGGTCGTTTCTCTTGAGGGCGCACTTACTAAATTGTGGTAGGAATTTTTTGGAATTTTCTCCAGCTCGTCTGGCGATAAGATGACATGTGAGGGCAGCAAATAAAGTTAACAGAGGTTTATTTTTTAAAGATCTTTAGTTTTTTCTACTTCTCAAAACTCGAAAAGATGATGGACAGTCTGGTTTGCAGGGAGTCTTACAGCTCTCGAGCCCGTCCGCTGAGGTACCTGAGGAGAAGCGATGGAACTATTCAGGTTTCCTCGGACGGAGGCAAAAACCAAGCGTTCCAGTCACTTGCCCAGACGTTTAGGGTAAGGAAACAAAATATATTTTTAAAATAGTTTCCCGTCCAGCTTCTTGCTTTTTGCCCTGGTTTTCCAAGATGGCGGATGGAATGGACGCTTCCATTTTACACAATTTGTGAAAATCAGCCTTAAGAATATCCAGGCCTTCGATTTGTCATTTTTCTTGTTAAAAACAAATAAAGAGACAATTTTACAAATTAAAAAAAAAAATTATCACTGCCTTATTAGAAAATATAAAAAATTGGGAATCTTTTGAGATTGTCCCATTGGCCAATCAGAATCAAGGAAAGTGAAGTTCACCTCTGCAAAATGACCAATCACAATTGTTCCTCTGGGCCTGATGACTGGTACCTTGAAAGAAATTTCAAGATTATTTCTGCTTTTAGTATTCTAAAGTTTAAAAAGCTGAATTTTATTTTAAAATTATATTTCTTATATTCTGTGAATTATTTAGGTGAATTTATGAGGGATTTTGTGATTTCTTCAGGAAAACAATGATAAGAAAAAACAAATTAACAGTTTGACTGGTTACCGTATGTTGTGTGTGTTTGTGCATAAACTGCATTGCTTGTTTGTCACTCATAGAAAAAAATCATACACATGATGCAATGTGAATGTCAAAAAGTTTTGAAATGAGTTGAGTCAATGTTAATATTTCAGACGGTGTTTCTACCCCAAGGCTACCCTGAGAGCGTCAGCGAAGATTACCTGGAGTACCAGATATGGGACACAATTCAGGTTTGCTAAAATGTTCATGTAATTTTTCAAAACAAACTAACAAAAAGTGCATTTGTAGAAATTGATAAACTTATTTTAGGCCTATTCAGTTTTCTTACTTTGTTTCTTTTTGCAGGCATTTTGCAGCAGTATCACTGGCACTTTGGCCACACAGGCCATGCTGAAGGGAGTAGGCGTGGGTGATTCAACAGCCACGGCAGCAGCAGCAACAATTACGTGGCTGTTGAAAGGTACGAAGCCCGGAATAGTTGGCCCAATCTATTAAAACCAATTCAATTCAAGCCAGTTCAGGCTTGCGCAAGCAGCGCAGGCAAGCCCATTATTGTTGATGTAGGCCTACCCTAACGTGGCGCGGCCCCTTTGATTTTTCGCCTGTAGCACCTAGCTAGAGTAAAAGTTTTAAGAGTGAAATTTCATCAAGTTCAAAACACTCCCGTTCATAAATCACAACTTTATCTACTCATTACAAAGTTAGAAAGAATTTTATTTTGGCTTGGTTTTCCAATTTTATTTCGAAGTGCACAGTGAACTCTTTGAAAATGTCCCCAAAAAATTAGAAAATAACTTTCTGACAAACTTCTAGTTGGGTATGAAAGTAGACATAATAATGGTTTATCACATTTACAGAAATTCTTAAATGTTAATTTGGAATTTTCCGAGATTTTAATATTCAAGTGCGCCAAGTTGGGAAAACTCAGCCGATTTGTGCCCAATTTCTGGACGCCATCGTTTTTGAATTTCGGATTAAATTCACAGAGGTTAAATAGGAAGCATTAAAGTACCAGTTTTTCACTGAATGAATTTGAAGTCAACAAAGAAGTTTGGCAACACTGATGTGGAAAGTCGGGGTAAACGTCGAAGTGCACCACGTTAGGGACACCACTATAGCCTACCAATCCATCAAAACCCAGCCACTCACAGCCTGACCCAACCCAACCCAACCTTCACCCAGCACAACCAAACCCAACCCATCCCACACCCCCAACCCAACCCAACCCAACCCAACCCAACACAACGCAACACAATGCAACCTAGCCCAGCACAACCTGACTCAACCCAAGCCTTCTCAACCTAACCCAATTCGACCCAGCCCAGCCCAGCCCACCCACCCACCCACCCACCCACCCACCCAACCTTAAAACCATTTTGAAAAAGTAAGCACATAACACAAAGAGAGATTAAATATTTCAAATCTTGTTATTTGCATAATTTGTCTTTCAGATGGTACAGGGATGTGTGGCCGGATACTGTTTGCATGGTACCAGGGGTAAGTTATCAACTTTTTTATAGCAAAATCGTACGACCCGAGGTTAGTCTGAGTATCACCCATTATCCACAGAGCCAAATCCTAAAGAACGTCTGACATCTCCTGACATGCAAATTTATGCAAGCCGCGCGCCAGCCAGTCGGAGTTGACTTTAATAAATTGTGACGTCATTTCATTCCAAAATCAGGACTTAATGGTTTGGTTGGTCAATTCGAATGCAGTGCTTTGTAATACAATAACAACCAGCCCCATATCGCGTAACATGATACAGAGCGCGTAACATGTTTTTTTAAAAATCCATTGTCTATGTGACGTGCAACGGGTGAATGACCGAAGACTCGATATAGAAAGCGCCCGCTGATTGGTCAAAATCTAGGAAGTCAATAGGCAGGGTCTTGCCTAAATAATCAGCAATCTGTTCACGCGAAAGACTAGACATTTCAAACAAAATCCCTGTTTTTGTTTTTGGAAGAAGACATTTTGGTTGGAAAAACCTGGCTTTGTGTACAGGAACATGATTGTTTTTCTTGACTTTTCCCGTATCTACGACTACGAGCACAAAACTTCAAACAATATTTGCTATAAAAAAACAACAAATCCATCCATTTCTGAAAATTACAGCAAAAGCTAATGTTGTATATTCCCTTTAAATACAAACCTTTTTTTATTGTAACATTTAATTTTTTAACAGATCAAGTCTTGACTGTGATGCAAAAAGGTGGAGGTAAGATACTTTGTTTTATTCATTTTCTTGAATCTTTAAAACCTAACCCAACCTATTCAAAAATGATAACTGTGAAGATTACAAGTTTTCATTCTTTCATGGTTGATGTTGATTTCCCGATAAGGTTTGTTGGCCATCAGCCTCATCAAATGAGGGGAATCGTTATAGCGATTTTTGGCAAGGTATACACCTCCAGAGTTGAAAAATATGTGACAGCATTGCATCGGTGGCAGCTTTTCGGGTGTTATCACCCTTTTTTTCAAAATGTCCATCAAAATGCTTGTTACCACTCTAGGGGCGGCATACCTTGCGCATGCGCACTATAATCATTTATGCCCTGATTTGATACTGACCAAACCCCCAGGCTGATGGCCTATTGTGTCTGGCTTTTTGTCAGTGGCCACTTGTTTGAATGATAAGTATTTTTCTTAATGATAGTTTGGAATGTATTTCATTACTTTAACTTTGTATGGGTTGTAAGGGTCAGCCTTGCTACCCCACCCAGGTTTTGGTATGCCTTAATTAGTTCATGGAGCTATTAGTTTGCGTCTTATCAAAGTCTTAACAAAGGATCTGCAGACTGCAGTCAGTATTCAATGCTTGAATACACATGCAGTATATAAAGGCCCATGGCATGGTTTGGGCGAGGCATTCCTTACATCAGAGTGGCTGGGGATACTTGGTTAGCCTGGCGGGCGACGGTTCTTTATTTTGTATTTAGTTTTTGCTACCCAAGCCGGACTGTAGCTATTTTTTTAGTTCTGTATAATTTGTACCCGCCGTCTGTCAAGCGTACTTTCTTTGTATTTATTTGGTACATTATGTCGGGCTTCCTGGGCTCCTGGCCAAGCTGACTTTCTATTTACTATGGGCGTGGCCCTTTACCTTTGTTTATATATTTTTCTGTGGCTATGCTAACTTGGGGCGTGTAATATCAATTTGTGATTGCACAGGGAATTAATGATATTTTCCTGAGACCAAAATGTCTTTTCTCGTGGTTGATTTATTTTTGAGTTTGTGTCAATTCACTGGCGGGCGTGGCCTCCTAAAGGGGGTCCCCGGTTACAGGTTGAAAAGCACTTACATACATTCGCGCGAAATTTTCCATGTGGATTTAATCAGATAGAAGAAGGAAGACATTTTATCCTGTTTGCAGTGTTGTAGTCGAAGTCACCAACGTCGAGTCCGAGTCTGAGTCACGAGTCACTTGTTCTCAGTTGTTCATGCGACACTCTTTGGTTCCGGACACTTTTTGGCATGACACTGGGCCCTGGTGCCGCTCGTCGTGCAGGGGCTAGGCGTTCGTGCGCGGCCCCTGGATACGATTTTCCACGGCCCCTTGTTTTGTAGATGGAGTCAAAAGAATGGTACCTCCGTCGCACAAATACGTAACATTATGTTGTCTATTTTGATGAAAATATGTGACACGAGTCACCAAGCTCGAGTCCCAGTCATCGTGGTCGAATCCGCGTCCGAGTCATTTTCAAATGTGACTCGAGTCGAGTCCGAGTGAGTCATGAAAAATGTGACTCAAGTCCGAGTCCTGGACTCGAGTCCTACGACACTGCCTGTTTGAGTCTTGCTGTGTTCTATTTTACAGGTTATTTGCTGACATTTTGAACGATACAGCCATCTGCATTGAGTTAGTGTCGCCGTTATTTCCGAAATACTTCACAGCGATTGCCTGCATCTCTGGAGTCTGCAAGGTAATTTACCCAAAACATTTAAAACACAAAATATTTGAGAAATATACTTATTACTTAACCTTTTACTTTTGCTGGACAAGAGACATATACTTGTAAGAGTGTGCCTTTTTGCATGTGCCAGACTTGTATTTGGTGTATATTTTACTTCCAAAAACATTGGTGTATGAATACATTTGTTTATGAATATAATATTTGTGTATATGAATTTGTTTTTGTCATGTGTGCGCTGTTGTTATTAAGAGTATTAAATAAATGGTGATTTTATTTTTGTTGTGAATTTTCTAAATATAAACTTCTTTTGTGTTGCCTGAACAAGGTTTTGGGAAGAGACTTACCCGTCCTAAATGATGTAGACCATAAACCGTAAATTCCTCATCGGATTACTGAGGTCAAAGATCATGTAGGGGTCATTAGAGGTCATTGTTCAAATATGCATCAAATGTTTAACTACAGAATTTCATGGATGTTAATGTAACTTGGATGGAGTGATCCTTGGGTGGGGGGTTCATGACAACTCTTCCAAAATTGGAGGTCAAAGGTCATGTAGGGGTCATTGAGGTTGTTCAAAAATGCACAAAATTGGCTTTTCTGCTAACTGTTAAGCAGCGTCATGAAATTGGGCCCTGTATTTATCCTATTGAAAATCATCAATTCTTGAGTGGCTTATTGTCAATGTCTTCCATTTTTTTGTTGGGGGTAGTCTATTGTGGGCGTGGCTGGAGGGGCAACGAGGGCGGCACTGACCCTGCACCAAGCCAGGAGAGACAACATGGCCGACGTCAGTGCCAAAGACGGAAGTCAGGTCAGTCTTGCGCCCTCGTTCAAATTACCTGGCCACAGCTTAAGATTACACACATGTCAGTGGGAAGCGGCTGTAGCGGCTACACCTGTTTCCTATTGACACGTATGTAATCTTAAGCCATGGCCAAGCAATTTGGAACGTGTTGAACTTGAACTTGGCCGCTGTACACGGCCTGTCGTCGTAGCAAATATCGCTCCATGGCGGGGCCTTGGAGTGTTGCAAAATATGAAGTTACAATGAGAAGTATCGTAAAAATATGGTACAAATGACACTCAAGAGTCAGTATATGTGATGCGATCATGCTACATGAGTTGTTTGTCGGGAAATTTCATTTGGAGATACAGGCCAAAATAGGGCCACTTCATCACATCACTTCATCACATCTCTTGGTGTTCCGACTTTATAATTTTTGAACTAAAAATGGTATCAGCATGCGGTTTTCAGAGCAGCCTGCTGAGATTGTGCTCTTTTCAAATCTGTAACAAAACTTTTTTTGACCAGGGTCGACAAACGACTCATTTAGCTTGATCGCATCACATATGTGGAGTTTGATCTGACTTTACAATTTGGCCAATATATTTTTATGTCTTTTTTGAAAAATCTTCTTTTTTTTTGGCCAAAAATAATCCCGTTGTCAAGTGGTTTATGAGGTTGAACACCTTTTCACTCCTGTAAAATGTTGCCTGTAGATTTCCTTTTTATGGTTACGACATTTTCTTAAAAGTTGACAGGGATTTGTCTATGCTTGTTTTCATCCAGGAAACGTTAGTCAACCTGGCGGCGTTGTTGGTTGGTCTGTTCCTTACTCCAATGGTGGCCGGAAATCCAATGTAAGCGAGATAACTGATGCGTAACTTGACAAAACTTTGATGAATGTATATGAGGTAAAATAAAACAAATATAACATGGTTCGCTGGTTGATAGTCGATACTTAGCTTCCTTCAGTGTTTAGAGGTTGAAAAACTAATTCCCTTGCCTTCGCCTTAAGACTACTTTGGCCCACAGACCATGAGGTTTTGTTATTTTTTCCCTTCATGCAGGTTGACATGGTTCCTCTTTTTCCTGTTCACGTTCCTCCATCTTTACTCCAATTACCGGGCCGTTACCTGCGTCGTCATGGAAACGCTGAATCAATCCCGGTTGCACATCGTCTGCCAGGAGCACCTCGGCTCCGTGGACAGTCACATTATGAGTCCGGCCGCCGCAAACGCACTGGAACCGGTCGTATGGAGTAAGTTCATGCGTGACAGTAGTCATATGCCAAAGTCTGGATTGCGATTCTGTTCCCTGTACCCTAGCCTTCCCAAATCCTCCCCAAAACCTCTTTGCAAAATGGAGGATTTTGCAGTATTGAGGCGATATGGCAAACAATGTGTGGCTGATTTTGGAGGATGCACTGTGTCAGGGTCTTGGGCCGGACCTTGTGTTGCTTATGTTCAGCTGCGTATACATTTAGGCCTAGATTATACTTGAAATCCTCCGCACTGCTCCAGTATGTCATTGGCCCTGCCTCAACACATTGACGGTGATTGCTGGAGGATTTTGCAGGATTGAGGCAGTGGTCAACCCTCCAAGGACCACATTCAAGAAATAACGGATGATTTTGCAGGATTGAGGCTGTATGCAATTTTGACATGAAGGCAGTTGGAGGATTTTGTAGGTTGCATCCTAGCAAAAATCCCTAGGGAGTTAGGGTTAATGTAGCTGATTCCAGCACCTTTCATTCATAGTCAAGCCATCCCCTGTCAATAGAGGGCGGTATCGACAAGATGAATCAAATGGAGTCTTGGGAACATTGGCACCCAACCCAAGAACTTCTGAGCATGGCTCATGCACAGGTTTGATCTTGTATTTAAAGCGCGCGAGGTATGCTCAGATTTCTCGGGTCAGGGTGCCAAAGTTCTCAAGACTAAAGTTGATTCATCTTGTCAATAGCAACCTCTACAGCAGCAAAAAATGTAACTCTGCAACTTGAAAATTGTATTCTGGAATTGTATTCTCACTGTTAACATTTTCTGAATTTTTTTTCTGCCACAGGACTTAGCCGGCCACTGCGTGTCAACTTGGGTGTTCAGTTCGGTTGGCTTGTCAAAAGGTAGTCTTGAAAGTTACTTTTAATTTTGTCAACCTTTTTCAAATTTTCTCCTTTTTTTTTTTTTTTTTGGTCTCAACAAATTCAGAGGTCAACCAAAGTGTAGTATTGCCCGGACATGTAGAATAATTGGACGACACCTTCAAAAATTAATTTTGGACTGAACTGCAACACTGATCTGTTAGTGACGCGTAACAAATTTTTTTTTATCTCTTTGTTTCAACAGGTCGCCAGATATGGAAAAGTGTCTCTATAGCAACAGAAACCAAAAATTCTTAATCGGCCTCAACAGACAAACAGGTAGAAATCATTCAAACATATGGAACTCTTTTGCATGCGCCCAGCGAACCAATTATATTGGTTTGAAAAGGACACATATTTGAGACAACAATCAGCTTAGCATGATTGGGCATTGGTTTAAATTCTTGCTCTGTTTTCCTCAATGGGGACATTTCTTTTGCCGATGCCAGAGAGACCACCCTGTTGTTTTCTTCAGGCATAAGGCTTTTCCTCGGATCTGCTGATTTCCTCATTTTTTACTTCTCATGAAGGCCATTACAAATAAAAAACACTGTAAATTAGTCTTGTGTAGTTTTGAATTTCCTCGTTTTTTTGTAAATTCCTTGTGTATGTCTGTTTCTTTGTTTATGACTGACTGACTGACTGTCACTTGTGAATTACACTGGTTTTAGCCATTATTAATCAATTGATAGAATTTTGTGTACAAAGGGACTGGTGTTTGTAGCATTTTTATATTACCAGTTTTTAATTTATATCAATTTGTCTTAAATTTTAGTTAATTATTACTCTTTAATTATATAAAACTTTGATTAAGCTTTTCACATTTAAAGTTCCTGTATTAATCCTCCGGATTGTTCAATTTGTGCTCTACACTGCTCTACACTACACTGCTCATAGCTTTTCCTTGTACATACATACCGGTACAACCACATACACTCTTGTTTTACTATACTCTCGAGGACAATGCTTTGTGTTTCCCTTTGTCCCTGTAATATAACACTCTCCCATAGACTAAGCACACAAACTTACTACAGAGGACCGTTTTGAACAAAAGACCCAACTCCCGAGGACTGAAAGGATCTGTTGTTCTCCCTTTGTGTGTCGGTCCTCGGGGGTTATGTAGAACATGCACACAATGTGCCTGTACTGTGTGTATTGTTTTCTGACCTTGCTGTCCACAGGTTGTTACCCATGCATTCCAAGACTCATTGATCATTTGACATTGAAATTTTCTCAGTACAGCAGAGTTTGTTCTGCGGTGTTATTACTCATTTATAGTCATTTTATATTTCTGAAATCAAGATGCGTGACCAAATGTTTCCCTTCATAAGTATTTCCTATTTCAACTAGTATATACTACCCGGCCCGTGAGAAGTTCCTCAGTCAGTCAGCCTGCCTACCCGTCCGCCCAGTTCAGTAATCCCAGCGCATATTAATTTCATTGTTGTGGAATAAATTCGCTGTTATCACAGTCCTCAACTAAAGAAGTTTGTGTAATGACTACCTTTTCCCCAACACTTGACTAGCCTTCCGTTGTCTTGTTTTCCCAATAAGATTATTTTGGGTTTTTTTTTTCAGGGTCAATAAATATAGTGCTGCATAGGGACTGTTCAGCGGATGATGTCATCAAGGCCTGCTTCCAAGCTGAGATCATACAACATGCGACGAAACATGTGCAGCGAGAAAGTCAGGTACAGGTAAATTCAGAAAAACATTCAGAAAAACAATTAGTTGGGCGTACATCGCACATAAGCACACAAACGAGAACACTCTTGCAGTAAGTTCCGATCCTCTATAGGTTCTTGAAAGTGGTAAAAAAAACGCCATCCGGTGTTCATGCACAGAGGTCCATTGAATTAAAGTGATCCTAATCATAATCAAATTAAAATCATTTCCTAACCTGTTTCTCCACAGAGATCAGATCCTTTAGGGATCAAGCCAGTCTTCTATCACGAAATCAGAGATCTTCTTGCCAAGGGTAAGTACATTTAATATGCCTTTATCAAGATTGAAATATTTTCTGGATGATAATTTTTCTGAAAAAGAAAATTGCTTTTCAACTTGGTATCATTAAAATGAAATTGCAATTGGATGGCGACTTTGGTTTTGAAATACAATTGGTGAAAAATCTCTGATGTTCAAATATGTAGTTGATCTAAATGTAACTTTTTACGGTCATGAAATTGTTTACAGAGGTGATTTTATGGTATCGTAAATTGTAATGAAATGTATGTACAAAGCACATCTTGACAAAACTCCAGCGTTCAGCATCTACGCCGCTTTAGTTTAACGAGGCCCTGTCATCCAAAAGCTGAATCGAAAAAAAACCCAAATTGTCTGCTCCGACAGGAAGTCACATGACCCCCGATGACTGCTGGGAAGCAGTCCGGCTGTCGGGCCTGATCAGCGACAACCTCTTCCCACAATTCATTGCGGAGCTGGAGATGGCGGGCTGGGTCATAGGTCAATCGTTGTTAGGGCCTGACGAGTGGAGAGCGGAGTGGAGCCTAGAAGGCATGGCAGAAAAGAAAGTGTATTGAAAGTGGAAAAAAGCGGACCGCAAATTTCGGAGATTGCCCATGAAATAAGTGTGCTACGGGTGTGCCAACTAAAAGTCTTCGAAACAAATGTATAACATAAAGTGTATGTATCATTGTGGCTCATTAGGAGGTTATTTGTATTGTTTCATTGTCATGAAACGAGATTGGATGCCAGTCCATCGCAGGTTACTTCCAAGCTAATGCCAGTATACATGTATACTCCTGGGTTGAGAGAAGCGAGTTGGAGCAATGTGGCTTGCCCAAGGACACAGTGACTATTGCCAGCAACTGGTTTTGAACTACGGTCACGAGTCGGCTAATAATGCTGCTGCTCATTTTATTTCTCCTGGGTGGTGAGTGGCATCATGGAGCTATGTAGCATGTTGGGGTAATGTGGCTTGCCCAAGGACACAACATATGGCCAGCAGCTGGATTTGAACCCCCTGACCTTCTGATCACAAGTCAGGTCACGAGGATAAACAGTGAAACAATGTCAAAGGAATGTCTTTTTTTTCACAGGAGTACATTTGTCACATTTGAGAGCGGATGGACTGAGATAACAACTCTATTTGTGGCGGGCTATAACGCCCTCTGTTGACCATAACAAAATAAGATCTTGTCACCTCATAGGTAACATAATGGCTGACTTCCCGCATTAATCCTGATAAGGTGCCAAAATGACCTTTGTTAAAAAGTAACTTTTAACTAGTTGTATTTTATCCCCATATTAGTGTTACTAGTACCGACAGTTTAAGTTACTTGGGTCATCTTACTTTTTATAATGTGCCTTATCCAATTAAAAAAATTTATCTATACCCTAAATTTTGAGTAAAAACGATGTCATTGAACCCAAGTACCTACAAATAAACTCACTTTGGTTAGCACATATTGATATTTTTGCCCCCTTATTTGAATGATATATTCACCATTCCTTGTATAAATCGTTGTCCATACTCCAAAAGTTGGATATAAATATAGAGACCGCGACGACCAATGTAGGAAGCTTTTCCTTGCCTTGATGACCTCTAAACGCGGGGTCAGCTTAATTTTAATATTCGCGCGCGCGCGGCGAACTACGTCATTCCGCGTCCGCGCGTACGTGAGGAATTGCCCAATCAGGTTGCAGAATTGTCACGGTAATAACCGTAACAACCAATGAAATCACAAAGCTGTTACTCACGGTCCTTACTCCTGCTCAATTATAGGCAATGCCAAGTTGCCAGTCTCCACCGTACTGCAGCCTGTTGCATATTGCACGACCCTGACCGTTGAAAATCATCTGTCCACAAGCTAATAATAAAATCAAATTGATTTTATTTTACTCGCCCTTGTGGCTTGCCATGCCAGTCCAATATTATGACAACCTCGCTGAGGTACATTGTCCTCGTCACTGCATATGGTATTGACGTATATTAACCTTTGTCCTTCCCGAGTCCATGCAACACGAGAACGAATGCCAAAATAAAAAGAAAAATCAAACTCGCAATTAATGAGCCATACGGGTTTTTTTTTTTTTACTTCAATGAGCAGACGTATTAAAACAAAACAAAAAACAGTTGAGATTCACCAGCCGTTAGTTAAAGGCACGAAGGAACATTGGTAATTACTTGGAAACAGACCTACCGATTTAATGAGAAAACCATGCTCACAGTGAAGGTAGGGATGCTACCAAATACCCTGTGAAATTATCCCGCCTGAAATGGTATCGGATCAGAAGAAAACAATCATTGAAGGTGGTTTTTAAAAAGGTATGCGAGCAGGCACAGTTTTACGTGCGTGAGCAATGGAATCTAGTTACGAGACCAAAAGAAAATTGTGCATAAGTTTCTCTATTTTCTCAAAATGTATAGTATCCACTGAGCTGAAATATCAACATGTTAGTTATGCACCCTGCTTAAAAAGTTTTGAGCTATTTTGTTGCTTCAAACGAAATAAATGTGACTCAAGCAAATGGTGCAACATACCTTTAAATGCTGTCTGTAAAACATCAGACCAGTGCAATTGTATCGAATGCCCTACCTTAATTATTTAATAGATAAAACCAACTTAGGGCATGTATTTGAATGCTGTCTGAATACAATCATCAAGAAATGCGTTCATTAAAAATCTGCATTGTGCACAACTATCTTAAACGATAAAGGAAAAAGACAACATCTATAGGTTTAAGGTAATTCTAACCCCCTGGGCCTTTTTTTCCTTGAATTTGTTCATTGGAGGGGCGATCACTTCCTCAACCCTGCAAAATCCTCCAACAATCACTGTTAATACGTTGACACATTGCCGATGATATAGAAGCAATGTGCGGTTGATTTCGGGTATTATCTCGGCCTAAATTTATGCATGACTTAAAAGCATAAACAATACAAGGTACAACCTAGACCCTGACACAATGAATCCTACAAAATCAACTAACTTTTTTTTGCCATACAGCCTCAATCCTTCGAAAACCTTCACTTATATGCAAAGAGGATTTTGGAGGATTTGGGAAGGTTAGGGTTTAATTAATCTGTAGACAGACGCATACCAAGTCCTATATAGAAAACCGAGGTACTATGACGTGCACAGAAAACACATAAAAAAGAAGACCAAACGACATTAGCTGTTTTTTAATTTCCATCGGTGATCAATGTTTGCCACTTTTTTAAACAAACGACAACGTCAGCAGTTCGAGGTAATTTTAATTTAAAGATCCGATTTCACTTTGAAGAGCTTTCTCTGGCTCGATCTCTTTGTTGTTTTCCCGCTTGAAGCGATATTTAGCCTTCCCGGCATTGCAAATAAATCTCTCCCGTGTATGGTGTCGTTTCCGAGTCGAAAGTTCAAGATGAATAAGTGTTGAGTGGGAAGAATGATAAATGGGACACATCTGCCTTTTCTCCCAAACGATTACTCTGTATAAATAAATATCACATTTTGAAGAGATTTTCTTTTCTCTGCGACACCATTAGGTATCACCGCGCGTGGTCAATGCGGAGTGATACTGGGGACTATCCGGTTCGTTAGTGTGACGTCACTTCAATATAAACCACGCCCACTGGCCATTAAGTAGCATTGGAACCACTGGAACCGGAAGCTAACGCAACTTCAGTGTTTATCCAATGGGCGCTAGTAATCAGTGGTGCGCGCGCGCGTGTATGACGTTTTTACAAACGAACCGGATTTGTGATGTGGCGTCAGACTACAACATAGTGCGTGATTTGGCAGTCAATATCTCAACACCTGTTTGAAAGGACAGTTTTTTGTTATATCAGCGGCCAGATGATAATGTATTCATCTCAAGATCAGTTAAAGAGGCTTTGTTGCGAATTATTTACTGCGTACTGCGAAGTGCACGATGCGCAGATTGATGTAGCGGACTATTTGTAGACACGGCGTAACACTACCACATAGTGCGTGATTGGACAGTCAATATCTCAACACCTGTTAGAAAGAAACATACAAAAGAGACTTGTGACGTCAGTGGCCAGGTGGTAATTAAAAAGTCCAAGGTCAATTAAAAGAGGCTCTGTGCGAATTATCTATTGCGTATACTGCGCAGTGCACGATGCGCGCGAAGTAATATAGGGAATTATTTGGAGACGAAGCGTAAGACTACAATATAGTGCGTGATTGGGCAATCAATATTTCAACGCCTGTTTTAAAGAGAGATTCTAAAGAAACACTTTTGACGTCAGTGGCGCCAGGTGGTAATTACTTTAAATTCAAGTTCAATTAAAAGAGGCTTTGTCGCAAATAAGAGAGGTTTATTTCCCACTAGTTTAGCTTGTGGTCATTGCCATTAATAATACTTCCTGAAGATGTACATTGGTCGTTTGCCACCGTTTATCGCAATACAGTTCATGCAAAGGGCCTGTGCAATGTAATTTTTTTAATGCAATCCTTGAAAACGCACTTTTTTTGTCCCATTTAACCTTATTTTTAATTTTCGTTTTGCCATTTTCAAGGGTAGGCCTATTTTGGTGCCCTTTTTGTTTTTATGTTAATGCAAATTTCCATATTCATGAGCAAATGTGTGATGTCATTTCGTGAAGAAACCTTAATATTACAGCTATTTGAGCACAAAAGATGCTAGAATTTTGGATATTTTGCTGTCGTTAATGTTCGTTTCTTTGCTGATTCGTTGTTATGTCAGTACATGGCAGTATGAATGACTGCGGGACCCTTTAAGCAACTGGTTCCTCTAGTTCGTGCGAAGTTTCTGCGAACTGAGAAATCTACTATACATGTATAATTATAATAACGAAAAAGAAACGCTGTTCGTTTTAGTGTTCGACGAGAGATTCGGGCTCACCGTAGATTTGCTAGTCAACGATCCTGACATGAAAAACGAGTTAATTTGACTGATTTCCAGTCGTACGAAGCCGACCCCAACAATTTTTGTGGTCCGTTTGGAAGCAAGTTGAATTTCTGTCTTCAACTCCGTCAAATCTGACAATTCTCTTCGTCTGGAATAATGCAGCTCACAATAATGGTGAAAACTCGAGTTACCCGCATTTAAAGTCCGCACAAATGAAAAAAATCCATACTTCGGTGAAAAGGGGCGGGAAAAAAGCTACTCCGTCTACGAAATAAAACACCGTGGTTCGCGCCAATAAGTCGTGGGCGATTTCGGCGGTGCAGACGGCGTGGGGTTAATACGACTTCCTGCTGACTGATGACTTTTGATGAACGTAGACGCCGACTTGAACATGCTCCACTTCGCGCTCTCTCACGCTCTGATTTTGGCGTATCCGATATCTTTTAGATATCAGTCTCGGTTCGAGCCGGGATTTAAATACATTATTCCCTTACGCTCGTCTGCCATTTTAGTTCTAAAGATTCTAGCGCCTTCACTCGAAAATTCTCTACTCGGTTGTCAAATCAAGCTCTGATCTATAGGTGTGTGATATGTACTAGTCTTAGTTCAAGACGGAATTTTGTAATGTGCTTTCTGTTCGCACACCAGTTCCTTACAAAGCTATTGGGAATGTAAATGACCCCAAATTATCTACGCCGGCCAAACTAAGATTAATCGTCTGTTAATTTTTTTTCTTTTAACCCTCATACTGATAGAACTTTCACAAACCATCAAACAATCTATCCGCTTCCTCTCCCATAGCATTATGTACAGGCTGGTCACCAACTGCCAGGACCCCCATGGATTAAACCACATAACTGTCAAAACCTGTTGAAGGGGTTTGATAGATAGGGTGACCTTGCATACTGTTACAAGTTACATATAGCCGCCATCTTAGAGGGCAATGCCTTTGTTTTGCTGGGAGTGAACCTTTTGTGCCTTCATTGTTACTGAACTTAATCCATCATTGACAGGCACTCACCAGTGCTGACCCACCGTATCTATCAATGTCAGTCAAGGCATGGTACCCTCAGTTAACAAAACTACCCCAGCATGTCAATAATTTTGTACCAATATGAACCCGGTTTACATAACTGTTAAAGCTGTTACCAAATGGATTTTGACGGATAGGTTAACTCTCTCCTAGTCGTCAGTTATAGAGGGAGGGTTCATAGAGAGTTTTGTGGCCCTACATTTGAGAGTTTGGTCCCAGATCTATAGCGGCCTTTGAATTTTTATTTACGAGAAATTGGACCAGAAAGTCGTTCTGTTTTGCAATGGAGTGGAGGGATCATTTTTCAAAATGGTGATGGGCTTCAGGACTGCTTTTGGGGGTAGGTGATCATTTTTTGGAGGGTAAAATCACCCCCAAATCATCGGTTAACCCCACAAAAAAATTGAACAGAAAGTGAAGGAGGGTAACTCAAGCTTTAATTTGATGTCTGTCGTGATCACCTGTGAGATTTTTGAGTATTTTCCCCGATTTTATTGAAGTGGGAATATTTATCAATGGTGCCTGTGGGAATGTATTTACTGGTCTGCACCCTTTACATTCCCTACTTCTCGGCTGTCACGCACGCTTTGATCTTGGCGTATCCGATATCTTTCGACCGGTATTAGTCTTGGGTCAAGGCGGAATTTTGTTTGATTATTCAACCTTTC